TTATCTTGGAGGAGGTGTAGACATTCGCATATCATCCATAGCATCTTTGAGCATCTGCTATTTGTGGGGATCTGTGCTGGGCGCCATGCCTTCCAGAAGAGGTATTAAATGTTGGTCCTGTAAAGTCCAGTGGGAAGCAAGACAGATTTAAAAAGACAAGTAATTTGCAAATTGCTTGGGACTGTCCTAGTAATAATAAGGGCTCAGTCAACAGGGCTACTATCGAGTGGATTGAAGCCATCTGGCTAAAAAATGATTTTAGGCATCTTAGACTGGGGAGAAGGGAAGGGAGGTGATGTCTGAGCTATTAGTTTTGTCAGGCTTTTGATGGTGCCAGGCATAGAAAGGGAGAGGCCAGGCCCTTAGGACACAGGAACTGGTTTAGACTGGCTGATGACCTTCCTAAGAAGGCCCAGCACTTTGTCCCAAGTGTGTTCCTAGTGCTTGGTCAGAAGTTGGGGGAACAATGTCATGTTCACAAACCCTTGAATTTCTGGAGGAGTCGGACAAGTATGTTCAAACGTAGTTCCTCAGGGCAAAGGGTGTCCAGTTACACACAGATTTGGGGCAAGACCCAAGAAAAAAGAATGAAAATGGCCACTTACAACTCCATCTCTCTAATGGCATTATGGGTACTTTGTAGTTTGGGTTTCGGTTTAACTGTGTTTTCTTGTTGTTCAAAAATTACATATTGTTTTTATAATAAGAAAATGTAGGGGCTGAGGATGTGGCTCAAGTGGGGGCGCACTCGCCTAGCATGCATGAGGCACTGGGTTCAATTCTCAGCACCATGTAAAAATAAAATAAAGATATTGTGTCTCCCTAAAACTAAAAAAATAAATATTAAAAAAAAAAAGAAAATGTTGATTTTTGTACAAAGCCTGTTCGTGACTGGTCCCTTGTTCTGAAGGTAAGGTGATTAGGGAGTTAGTTACAAAACTGAAGGATAACCTCAAGAAATGCTTTTCTGGTGAATGAATGGTAGATGGATGCATGGATGGGTACACAGGGGATACCTGCTGCTTCACTGAAACAAGCCTCTAATTCTCTGAGATATCAGATGTCTTGTCACTGGAAATACACAAGCAGAGGGTGGACCTTCACCTTCCCAGGACCTCTTAGATCTCTTCCAACTCAGAGTCAGTGAGTCTTGTTTGCTGCAAGAAAAATACACTTTCCTGAAAGAACTAAAATTATTTGCTGGCTATGAACTAAGACACAAGCCAAAGAGCTATTTACATCAGATTAGGGGAATACTTGTGGGATCAAACATCAAGTTCTGATAGTTCATTAGTTCTTAGTGAACCATGAACAATTTGGAAACATATTTGCTAAGTTTGGGTGTTGAAGCGTATGTCTAAGGTTGCTATAAGCTTCCTTGAAGTAGAGTGTGGACTATATTCCTATATAGGAACAAGAGCTCAATGGAATTCATGCAAAATCCTCATGAAGTCACTAAGTTCTGTGTTAACAAAATGAAACTTGTCATTATAACCATACCTCTGGAAAGGTCTAAGTGGTAGGAAAAAATCCTTCCATTTAAATTGCAAGACGTGTTTTTGGTTTTATCTGTGCAGTTCTGGGGTGGAACTGAAGACCTCCTACATGCTAGAAAAGTACTCTACCACTGAGCTACATCCCCAGTCCATTTAATTTTTTATTTTAAGACAGGGTCCTATTAAGTTGCCCAGGCCAGCCTTGAACTTGTGATCCTCCTGCTTCAGCCTCCTGAGTACCTGGGATTATGGTTGTGATAATAACATCTGGCTCAGTGGTGCTTTTTTTTAAAGTTAAGACTTTCTAATTTTGTTTTTGTTTAGACAGAAAAGCTACTTTGGACTATTTACCAGCCTCATCTTCTGATACAGGATTAGTAATATAGGAAGGGGCTTGAGAATATTTCACAGTACTTAAGAACTAGAATCCTAAGATGTGGTCTGGTACTTTCTGCAGAAATCTGACAAGATGTGGAGGTCTATGGTACTGTGGGAGCCTGAAAGGACTCAAGTATTTGGGGAATTTAAGACATAAATAACCAGGGAAGGTGATCCTGTAATGTTTCAGGGCTTGTTTAGGGTATGCCCAAAGGTCTCACTCAGACCAAGGTTACTGGGGCTTCTCTGGGTCTCCCCAAGAAATACCTGGTGGGCCCTAGGCTTTGAATAAACCAAGTTTTGAACTGTCTTGATATCTGCCCCTTATCCACTCACAGCTTTTGCAGGGAGTGAAAACTGTGTCCAGGTGCTAGTTGCTGAAGTGTGGTCAAGGGCCCTCTATTTGATGACCTTTTTCCAGCAAGATGCATGGTCAGGGCAGCTACTGTACCAAAGGCAAGGTGCCACGAATCTGTCGCCAACTCCCAGGAGGGAACGGTAGACAATGCCAGAGGAAGACCGAGGACTACAAGAGTAATAATAGTTGTGTTCTTGATTCATATGCCAGATGTCCTCTAGTCCGTCACAGCCCTGGGAAGCAATGCCCATCATTTTTGCCATCTCCATTCTACAGAATCTCCATTCCGAGAAAAGGTCACCTGGCCAAGATAGGTGACTGGCAAGTCAGTAGCAGAGTTCAGGTCACCAATTCAGCTCTGATGTTCACCAGACAGCCCCTTTCAGCCACTGAGCCCCTTCACAGAACCGCTTGCTGAGAACAGAAACCTAGAGGTCTGATTCTGTTGGCTGCTTTATGACCAAGAAAGCATCCCTTGCCTCAGTTTCTCCAAACTAACCTTGAAAAGGACTCGGCCTTGATTCTCCAGCAGGAACCCCTTCTCCAGCATTCTTGCTTCTTTTCCAGTTCCCAAGGGCCAGGAAGCTCCCCCCGCCACACACACACCCCTTCTCAGGACCCCGGCCACCCTACTTCCCAGCACAGAAGGTCTTCTGGGCCGGCTGGCTGAACTCCTGAGCCAAGAAGCCACTGCTTGGAAAGGAGGCAGGATGGGGGGCCCAGAGGCCCCCCTCTCCCCAGCCAGGCTCCATGCAGCTGGGGCTCCGTGCTGCCTGGGGTTTAGGACAGCTCAGGGGGGTTGTAAATTTGTTTCTACTTGGATCTTCAATTTGAATTGGCTGCCAGGAGGAGTCTGTGGAACAGGGCCTGACTCCTCCCCAGCCACCATCTTGTCATAACTGTCCCTTTCAAAAAGCTGGGCTTCATGGCTGCCTACTTAGAAAGGAGATGAGGTTTCCCAAGTCCAGGATCCCAGGAAGATAGCTGGCCAGAAATGGCTCACTCCTCCAATTCTCTGGCTGAGGAGCCTGGCACGGAGATACCCATGGAATGCTCCCCACGGCAGAGTAAGGACCCTAAATAGGCCGGGTACTTGGCAGGAACCAAGTTGTATGAGACTTTCCATATACTGCCCTTCCTTCTCTGTGTACCAGTACACCTATGCCACATGTCTAGAGAGAGTATCCCTCCCAGCAGAGACTTTTAATAAATATCTCCTGGAGTTTTCAGTGCTAGACTGACAGATGGACACGGTGGCTCTGACAGCGAGAGACCTGAGATTGTACCTAGATGATGGCAGAGTAGAGGAAGGAGACAACTTTCTGCTGCGGGAATGGGGAAGAGGAGGGAAACTTGGGTTTGTGATTTGAAGAAAAAGGGGAGATAGTGTGGGAAGGTGACCCAGGAGGAAGGCTCAGTTAGGAAAGGGCAGGAGGCACAAGCATTAGAGTGAGCTCTGGGGATGGAGGGAGTAGGAGTGGGCATTGGGAGAAGGTGCTGGGAAGTTGGGTGGGTGACAGCACAGGGAGGTCCTCAGTTCCAAAGCAGTGGGGAGCCACCGCAGATTCCTGCTCAGGGGAATCACACAAAGGGGGCTGTTCAATGGGAAAGTGAACGAGGGTAGGGTTAGGTAGGGAGTTGATGGGGAAGTCAGGGAGGAGACCCCCTTAAGAGCTCTAGGGCTGGGTCAGCACCACACCAGAGAAACACAGCAGGCAGATGGAGGAGCATTGGGTGGCAAGATGGGGGGCACTGGAGGGGGAGCTCCAGGTACCCTCTTACTTTCTTCCTGTTCCCCAGGGTCCCCTGCCACCGAGGACAGATGAATGGATCCTGCTGGTGCGTATCCAAGTACATCTGGGTTGTATTCGGACCCCAGACCAGCCTCTGCCCTCAGCAGGATTACTTTGGCACTGGGATTGGGTGTGGGGAGGACCACGGGCCTCTCCTCCAACTCCCTGCCAAGCTATAATCTTAACTCTCCAAAGGTCCCAGGGGACAGGTCACCCTGTCTATCAGGCTTCATCACCTAAAGGCTGGTGGCCTGTCCTGTCTCCCTTCCCTTCTGGTGGGCAGGAACCCAGGGATCTTGACAAGTCACTGTGAGAGGAGGGGCAGGTCCCACAGCTCAAAAGGCTCCACCCTTTCCTCAAGACTGTGTCCTCCCCACCCCCAACTGTCCCCGACCCCCTCGTCATAGTTAGGTCAGGACAGTGACGCAGGAGTCAGGGGCCCTGGAGAGCAGAGTCTATTGGGGGTGTGTAGTCAGGACAAGGCGCACGTGCAGATGAATGTGGACGTGTGTGCATGTGCGTGTCCTGCAGCTGGGTCCTGGGAAGGGAGCACAGCTGGGCTCTGAGTGCCAAGCCAGGACAGCAGGTTCAGGGAGGGCCCAGAGGAGGCTGGAAGTGAGCAGAGGGAAGGGGCCAGGCCCTCGATACTACCAACCATATGCTCATCTATACCCCTTTCCTCTTTCCATGTCCCCTCTTGGATCATGTTCTCCCTCAGACACCTTTATGGCTCCCTCCTTCACCTCCATCTGGTCACCTTCACCATGTGGCTTCCTGAGTGGCTTATTGACAATGGCAACCTCTTGAACACCGCTTCTGCCTTTCTGCATTCTGGGCCTTTTCTCCTTAATTCTTTTTTCTTTTTTTTTTTTTTTTGTATCAGGACTGAACCCAGGGGTGTTCCTGAGCCACCTCCCCAGCCCTTTTTATATTTTATTTTGAATGAGACTTTAAGCAACTTAGTTGCTTATAGTTGCTGAAGCTAGCCTCAAAATTGTGATCCTCCTGCCCCAGCCTCCTGAGCCACTAGGATTATAGGTGTGTACCACTGCACCCAGCTCTCCTTAATTCTTGATGTCATTTGAGATCCTTTATCTTGTATTCACTTGTGTTCCTTGTCTCCCAATTAGAACGTCAGCTTCACCAGGGCAGGCATTTTTTAAAAAATACTTTTGTTGTTGTTGTCAATAGATCTTTATTTTATTTATATGCAGTGCTAAGATTTGAACCCAGTGCCTCACACATCCTAGGCAAGTGCTCTACCACTGAGCTATAGTCCCAGCCCCAGGGCAGGCATTCTTATCTGGTCATTCACGACTCTGACTCAGGTCCCTGGCCACGAGTGAGTGTATGAAAAACTCCACAGAAATTTCTTCAATAAGTGAATGAATGTTTCCTACTCTTTCAAACAGAATCCAAATTCCTCAGAGTGGCATTCAAGGCCCTTTACAACCTGACTCCTTGAAGGCTTCACTCTGCCCTAATGTCCCACCTCTCCCTCCTGCTCACTTCCCCAGCATACTAGCCTCCCCCTCCCCCTGGCATCTGCCATGGAAACCCTCCTCACTCTTCCAGGCTCCACCATAGTTGCCTCCACCTTCAGACTGCCTTAACATCGCCCAGCTGGAGGAGAGTCCACCCCTCTCCCAACCTCTTCCAGCTCAGATCTGCACACCTTGCTCTGTGTACCCAACTTATCTCACTGCAAACTCCCGGAAGTCAGAAACACCATCTCAACACCCCTTATTGTCTTGCAAAGTATGTAGCAAACGACTGCAGGAAGTAGGCTGGGGATGTGGCTCAGTCGAAGGGCACTTGCCTAGCATGCATGAGGCCCTGGGTTCAAGTTCCAGCACTGTAAAACAAAACAAAGCCCCCAAAGCCACAAAGTAGGTACTGAATGCATGCATAAGAGATATCTGATATCATGAGACCTGGTAGGGAGTTAGAGAACAGATATAATGCCTGTGTTTGTAGGACTTGGCTGTCTTTCTGACCTCCGAGAGAGGTGAGGATGGTACTTTCATCACACCCATTTGACAGTTCAGGAGGACACAGAGACTCAAGGATGAGGCCACTTTCTAAGATTCCAGAGGCCAATTAGCCTTGGACTCCTGCTCTAGGGAACTTGCCCCTTTGCCTCAGGGGTTCCAGAAGCCAGGAAAGCTGACCTGTAAATCCCACTCCCATCACCTCTTGGGATCAGCTCTTCCTGGTTCTTAAGAATTTTGCCACAGAGTTTAACGTATACCACAGGTCACAAACCCTGATGTCAAAGTGCAGGAGTGTCCTGAAAGTTAACTTTTTTGCGGGGGAGGGTTCAGGGTCCTGGAAAGTGAGGAGTGTGGGGAGAAAAATCTCCAACCCTTGCTCCATCTACTCCCATTCATCCCTCCAGATGGACAACACCGACCCTTTAGACCACATCCTGGGACTGTGAGAGGGAAGGCCACCCAGTTGTTTCCAGTCTTTCAGATCCAACTATTTTGCCAGAACCCAGGAACCCAGCTCCGGGACCAAGACTGGGACGCCCCCCAGGGGCAGTGTCCGGTGCCCAGCCTTCCCTATTCAGCCTTCCTCACCCAGGTACAGGCATTCTGTCCATCCCGCGTGTGCGCGCCCCGCTGGCTCCCCTGCCGGATCCCAGGGTCGCGGGGGCAGATCCGTGCCCGCACGTGCGTCTGCAGCTCGGGACTCAGGCGTCCTGCCCCTTGCTCCGACCGGGGGTGGCCCACACCCCTGGCGACCCCTCACGCACTCAGCCTCATCCCCACCCCCACCCGCGCACGCACACATGCTGATAACAACCCCGACCCCCGGCCGGAGCTGCAGTGTCCCCGGGCCAACCCTGACCGGTCGCTGCGTCGTGCCGTCCTCCCGGACCCTGGCCAGGGCCACCACCGCGCCGGCTCTCCTTCGACCCCGGGCTCGGCGGCCGCGACGTGCCTGCACCCCCTGGACACGACCCCCTCCTCCAAGCCCGTGGGGTGACCCAGCCCCACCAGCTTCCCGGGATGAGGGCTCCTGGCGTGGGCGCCTGCGGAGCCCCTGGGCGCTGAGGGGCCCCGCCAGGCGCGGAGATGGGGGTGCGCGGTGAGTACTCACGGGCAGGGGGAGCTGCTGTCGCCCGGGCCCCTGTTTGAGGAGGGATTTACCTTTGGGGCTATAGGCCGGGAGGTGGCTGGGTTCAAGGACCTGCGACCTGCTAAGGACCCGCGAAGGGGGAGGGGGTGGGGTAGCCTCCACGTGCATGCAGGGCTTGGGGAGCCCCTGGGAATGGCAAAAGCTCAATCTGGAGCCCAGGACAAGGTTTGGAGGTTCAGGGAGCAGAGAGGCGCTGCTCTGTGGGCGGGGAGCCAGTTGATCAGCGGATACCTGGTCCTGGAGCGACAGCCAGGCTCTGTGAGCGGGAAGCTTCTGTCGCGCCGGGATTGAAGTTTGGCCCGAGAAGTGGATGCCGGTCGCTGGGGGGTGGGGTGTGCCGGCGCAGCGGGTTTGAATGAAGGCAAGCCCGGCAGCGCCTGAGCGCCCGCGAGGCTGGGGTCTGCAGGCACTAGCTGGCCGCAGGGGCACGGGATGACCGAACTTGCCCCTCCAAACCCACCCTCCCCTCCCCTCCCGGCCTCACGCTCAGCCTGGCTCTTCCAGAATGTCCCGCCCTGCCGCTCCTGCTGTCCCTGCTGTTTCTTCCTCTGGGTCTCCCAGTCCTGGGCACCCCTGCACGCCTCATCTGTGACAGCAGAGTCCTGGAGAGGTACATCCTGGAGGCCAAGGAGGCCGAGAATGTCACGGTGAGGCCCCCTCCCTGGCACATGCCACAGAATTGACTCTCAGGACTCCAGGGGTCTCCTTCCTGGCACTTCCAGTCCCACCCCCATAAGAATATTAAAAACTGGTGGTCCCCAAAGTATATTTGGGAGCCAGGTAAGGGGCAAAGCAAGAGTGGCCTGTGGCCTGGGGGCCCAGGACCAGAGCCCTTGGGGGTCCTGACTCCTGGGCTGTGTTTTTCAGATGGGCTGTGCAGATGGCTGCAGCCTAAGTGAGAATATCACTGTCCCAGACACCAAGGTTAACTTCTATGCCTGGAGGAGAATGGAGGTGAGTTTGTCTTTTCCTCCCTCTTGAGGGGGGTCTAATTTTGAGACCCTCACAGGGTAGAAGAGAAAACAATAGAAAAGAAATGGAGAAAGGAATATGTTCACTCATTCATTTGTTATTCATATCCAACACACCTTCTTGCGTACTTTCTGTTTGCTCTGTTTGGTGCATGGAGCTGCTGGGAGGGAGGGGGAAGAGGTCACTTGGGCCTCCTGACTCCAAGTCTCTGTTCCCTCTAGGTTGGGCAGCAGGCTGTAGAAGTCTGGCAAGGCCTTGCCCTGCTCTCAGAAGCCATTCTGCGGAGCCAGGCCCTGCTGGCCAACTCCTCCCAGCCATCAGATACTCTTCGACTGCACGTAGACAAAGCTGTCAGTGGCCTCCGCAGCCTCACCTCCCTGCTCCGAGCGATGGGAGTCCAGGTATGTAGGAGGGGGTGTGGACACTTCTCCTTGCTCTTTCTATAAGCTGGGGAAAACATCCTGCCAAGAAATACGGGGGGCCTTCCTCATCCCCCCACCAATGCTGTACCTGATCCCATTTCCATCTGGGGTCCCCAGCACTACAGTAACCTCCTGTTCTCTCCTGGCAGAGGGAAGCCGTCTTGCCTCCAGATGCAGCCTCCGCTGCTCCACTCCGGACATTCACTGTCGATACTTTGTGCAAACTCTTCAGAATTTACTCCAATTTCCTCCGGGGAAAGCTGAAGCTGTATACAGGGGAGGCCTGCAGGAGGGGGGACAGGTGACCAGGTGCCTCCACTCAGGCACATCCACCAGCTCGCTCACCACCTCTGCCTGTGCCATGCCTCCCCTCCACCACACCCAATCCCCTCAAGAGGCTGTTACTTCAGTGCCAACCTGTCCCACGGACACTCCAGTGCCAGCGGTGACATCTTAGGGGCCAGAGGAACTGTCCAGAGCTTAACTCTGAGATCCAAGAATGTCACAGGGGCAGCCTGAGGCCCCAGAGCAGGAAGAATTCAGACACCAGCTTCAAACTCAGGGACAGAGCTGTGTTGGGGAGACACCTAAACTCACTTGGTGCCCTGCAGAACTGTGACATCAAGACAAGCTTTGAAGGCCAATACTTCTTTTCGCACCTACTAAGCAGGGACAGGAAAGACTGGAGAATTTAGGTGGCCAGCTGTGAATCCCCTAGGTCTCATGGGGACTACGATGACTGTAAGACATTGGACAATAGGGGTGATGAGAGTTATGACAATGGAATGGGGGCTGGCTCCTGGCTCTCATGCGGGGGGAAGGGGGTCCTAGTTTTGTGTATTTTTCAATCTCACTGGCAAGAGCTGAAACCACCAACATGGCTCTTAGACTTTTCTGTTTCCCCAGGAACCCTCTATTACCCTGGCTCTGCTCCTATCTTGGCAGAAGGGCGTCAGATATGGGAAAACAGAGTGGAGGGGGTTGGATCCTACGTGCTGCCTCACATGGCCTGTCTGACCTCTTGACCCCACTGGGCCTAAGGCCACAAGCTCTGCCCACGCTGGTCAATAAGGAGGCCCCATTCAAGGCTGTTCCTCAGTGGGCAGCTGCCCAGCCCACCAGGACAAGCCTTTAGTGAGCCCAGGCTGCCATGGAGGAAACAAGCCAGGATGAGAATCCCCTTTGGGGACTAGTGACAGCTGCCAGCTCTGGCTCTTGGACCCTTACTATTTCCCACCTTTCCTCCATGGCCCCTTTGGGTCATGCCACATCCCTAAGCATCAGCTTCCTACCTTGGCACACAAGCCTCCACCCCTGTAAACCCAGCAGCCCAATCCTAGCCTTAGGATTGTCGAAGTAAGGCTCTGCCCTGCAATTCACAGAGGGGCTAGAGGTGCAATAGGGCCACCTTCACAGACTGCTGTCTTACTGTGCACTTGCTCTGTGACAAGTGCAACTCCAAGTGGCTCCCTTATATAACCCCTTGCAAGACCCTGTAAGAAAGGGTCTGCGGCCACCTTCACTGACAGGTGGAGTAAAGTAACTTGCCCGAGGCCAAGAAAACAGGAATCCCAATCCTGCACACCCCCCCCATCTAACATCTTCCTGCATCTGATTTTCCTTCCACATAATCCCGACCTGCCCCCTTACTCCCCTGGGATGGTGGTCATGGAACACACAGCCAAGGAACCTGAACTTCACTCTTGATCTTGCTCTGACAACGATTTGATTCCTTCCCAGAAGTTAATACTTTACCTGGAAGGGACCACCCAGGCACCAGCAAAAATGCCACAAAAGTTTACTGGGACCCCAATGTTAGCTATTATCCTAGATGTGGTGGCCAGTCTTTCTGCTTTTAAAACAAAACATAAGGAAGTCAGTATGCGCTCTGGCACATATACAAAAGAGAATGTTTGGCAGTATGGAGCAGGAAAAAATTACAGGCATGATGGGGAATTTGAAGGGGTTTGCTAGATTGTGGGGGTCGGGGAGAGACTGGAGGGTGGGGAAGTTGAGGTGGAGGAGTCTGCAAAAGAGCAGACCCAAAAGAACTTTCACAGTGGCCAACCTAGCTCCTGGACTACAGTGCCCTCTTCAGGCCATATTGAGAACTGTTAGAGAAACCCACAAAGGGCTCTGCTCTGCACATTTCAATACAAATTTGTATTGTGGCTTCCACATGTGACATCTGATTCTTGCCCCACTGATTTGAGTCAGTAAGGGAGAAATCTCCCTCTTAGACTGATAAAACTGGAGCTAAGAGATGGGCTGTGCAGATGGCCCTCTTAGACTGATAAAACTGGAGCTAAGAGACTTGTTCTTAAGCCCGAGGAATTCAGCTAATATATGACAGCTAGGACATGAACATAAGATTTAGGACTCAAAAACCTCAAAATCTTCGCTACCCTTTAGCCTGATTTGTTGCCTAAGGTACAGATGTCCCATGGGGTAACTGTCTCTTTTTTCTTCCTAGGATTCAGGGATACTAACCTTATTCCTTGACTTCTCTTCAAACATCTTACTGCTTTCAATTAAAAAAAAAAAAAAAAGGCAGTTGAGACCCCAGCTCAATAACAACAACAAACAGTGGCCACTGAATCTGAACTGCTGGGCTAGGTGTGATGGGGGAGTGTGTTAGGGACAGTTAAAACACCATCCATTATTCCATGTTTATGGAATGCCTACTCTTTGCCAAACCTTTGCCCTAAGTGCTAGGAAATGACATGACACTCAGCCCGTGCCACTCATAGTCTAGTGTCCTTGGATTGGACAGTCCCCTGGTAGAAAAGACATAGAAACACTTAACTTAGACACAGCTTGGTATGTGACTGAGTGTTGAGGGGCAGGGTCTCCAGACGCCTTGGTGTCCAGAGCCACGTTAGTGAGGAGAACCTGGTGGAGTCCAGAACCCCGGATGAGAGGCACGGGAGGGTGTTTCCAGATTTCTGAGTCTCCTAAGGTGCAGGCCAGGAGAGTGAGCTTTCTCTATACTGTGATGGAGGAGGAGGAGGAAGAAGAGGAGGTGGAGCCAGCATTAAATGTCAGATCATGACTCCATGAAATAGAGAAATACTGTCACCTGGGGAAACCAGTTTCCACTAAGTGACCAGACCAGCTGGGATCAGGAGCCTCCATCACACTGTGGTTCTGAGTCTGCAGATCCTTTAATTGTTTAAGGATGTCACCTTCTATGTAGAGTGAGCTTGGCGACTTACAAGTTGTTTTCCTGCCCCTCCTCTCATTTGCTCTCCCAACCCTATGAGGAGGGCAGGGATGGAAGAGGATCCCCATTTAGCAAAGGAAGAAAACGAAGCATAGGTTCCACTAAGGGACCAGGCCAGAAATTATAAGTCTTGGCCAGGTTGCAAGGCATTGAGAGGAAGGGTCAGGACCAGAGGCCAGGTGTTCCCTGACTCCAGCTAGGGTTCATCTTCTGTTGAAGCACAGGATCACCAGGCAGGGGGAAAGGAGAGGTGAATGGAATGGATGAACCCGTCATAGTCAATGAGGCATTAGACTCTCCATCTCTGCTACTAGCTCCTCGCCTGTCTCAGGCTCCCACTCACCCTCTGAAGGGCAGAGAGGCTTCCTTCCCTCCTCTCCCTCCCTGCCAGCGTGATGGCCCAACTCAGCCCCCCCCCCATTTCACTCTCCATCTCAGCTCCAGCCTGTGACTGTGGTTCCTCTCTGGCCCAAGCTTTAGGATGACCAGATGTACCTGGTCACCTCAGCTTTTACTGGAACTGCCTGTCTACCCATCTCCTCACAGACGGTGATCTTTGCATTAGCTAAATGAGATTTTTCAGACATTGGAATCTAAATTGAATATTAATAACAGTATTTCAAGCTGGTCAATGCTAATTCTACTAAAATTCCATCATAAAAATGTGACATTTATGAAGGGACTATTTGCAGCAGAATAACAACTGTTTCCAAACTTATGGGGCCCTGTTGGAAAAGAAAGGGAAGGGAAGGAAATTACATGCTCCCCAAAGTCTATAGATTCCTAATTTTAAAAAAACATTGGCTGTGTTAACTTTGTCTCTTACCTGTATCTTATGGATGAAGGCACTAAGGCCGGATGTTACGTCATCTCTCTTACCCCTGAGTGAGCTAGGAGGTGACTCCCGGGGCTTTTCTACTTCTCAGCATCTCTCAGACTGTATTCCTGCAGCTATGAAGCTCTAAAGCCTGCCAGTCTCTGGAACCTTGCCCATTCCTGATTCCCCAAAATGCAGAGCCAGTGTGTCACCCCCTAACCTTTCTGTCCTTCCTTGACTTCCCACTCCCCACCTCTTGGCAAATTGGAAGCTGTGACTGTCTAGCTCAGTGGTGCCAAAGGAGGTCATCAAAAGCAGCCATCAGAGGACTTATTGCCCAACCTGGAGGGGCTGTGGATCAATGACCTTCTACTGCTTTTCCCTGGGTTAACTATTTCCTGTCCTTGTCCCTTCTGTTGACTACCTACTTTCTCCCATGGAGGGAGGGTAGATGGGGCTTGAGATGGGCATCTTTTATATCCTCAGCTTGAACCCAAAGGAGGTTGAGGGTGCTGTTCCTGATTGGATTACTGCATGGCCCTATTGGCATTCCAGCTGTGGCTTTCAGACCTCACTGGGGCAGAAGGGGGTCTTGATTTTCCTTACCGTTATAGTTTAGATATGATGTAAGACAATGCAGGAATTTTCAGAGGTGAAATGATTGGGTTATGGGACCCTTAATCTAATCAGTACATTAATCCACAGACCCAGATTAACTGAGTGGTAACTGTGGGCAGGAAAGTTTCGACTGGAGGAAATAGGTCATAGGGGGCATGACTTTGAGGTTTAGACTTTGTCCCTGGTGCACGGAGCTTGCTTTCTGTTTCCTGGTTGCCAAGTCCTGACTGCTTTAGCCATAATGTTCTGCCTCACCTCAGGCCTAGAACTATGGAGTCACCTATCCATGAACTGAGACCTCTGAAACCATGAGCCCTGAATAATAAACTTTCCCTCTTCTTTGTTGTTCTTGTCAGGTCCTGTGGTCACAGCGATTGAAAAAAAAAAACAAAAAACCCATGGGGCTGGGGATGTAGCTCAAGTGGGTAGTGCGCTCACCTAGCATTCGTGAGGCACTGGGTTCAATTCTCAGCACCACATAAAAATAAAATAAAGATTTTTTTTTAAAAAACCCAGAAAACTAGACACAGGGTACAAGACCATATAGTCCCCTCCCTGACAGCTCAGGGGAATGGCTAGAACGAGTGTCTTTGTCTCTTTTCCAAGGCAAAGACCAAGCACCCTGAGCCTAGCTTTGATGCTACAAGTGTTGGGGGGCTGCCTCAGGAATACCTGGGTGGGTGGGTATCAAAAATCTGGGTTCATGGGGCTAGGACTGTAGCTTAGGGGCAGAACCCTTGCCTAGCATGTGTGAGGCACTGGGTTCCATCCTTATACTGCCTACAAATAACAAATAAAATGAAAGCATTCTGTTCATCTACAACCACAAAATAAATAAAAATTTTTTAAAATTATGGGTTGGGGTTGTGGCTCAGTGATAGAATGCTCTGCTAGCACGTGTGAGGCGCTGGGTTCAATCCTTAGCACCACATTAAAAAGTAAATAAAAGAAAAGTATTGTGTCCAACTACGACTCATATATGTATATATATCTAAAATCTGGGTTCACGATAGCTTAGCACACTGCCCACCCCCACCCTGCAGCCTCCAGCTCTGTGTGTGCCCCAAGAATCAGTGGGTTTGTTTTGTTTTGTTTTGCTTTGTTTTTGGTGCTCCAGATGGAACCTAGGGCCCTGGGCATGCTAAGCTCATGCTTTATCACTGAACCACACCCCCCAAGCCTCACTGGGTTTTCCAAAGCAGCTGTAAGTGCCCCTCAGGCTGAAATCTAAAGTAGAAATGCCATTTATGAAGCCAATAAAAGGCAGGAAAGTTCTGGCTCGGGTGTATGCCCCATGGACATTTGGATGTCCCCAATAACCCCAGAGGGACAGCTCTCAGAACTGTGGGACTCAGCAGAAGCCAGCATGGGAACCAGGGGCTTTGGAGTCAGCACCATATTCTGACAATGACGGGGAGCAATCGATGAAATTTCTCTAGAGCTCTGTTCCCCAAAAAGAAAATGAGGAAAATATATTTGCAGTGAAGAGTTTGGGTTAGGTCACTAGGAAAGAACTGCTGTTTCTGGCTACTGGAAAGCTCTTGATCCACTCCCTGCACTTGACCCTTGATTGTTATCGTCCATCTGCACAGCTATCCAAATCCACCAGCTCCTCTGATCCATCCTGCTGCCTGCTGGGGCCGCCATTTGAAAATGCAGGTGGGATCAAGTGAGCCCACTGCTCCTCAAAGCTATGGCGCTCAAGGTCCTCCAGACAGGGCACAGCCTCCTCCCGGTCCTGCTTGTACACTGTGCGCACACACACAACCCCCTTCCCCCAGATTATTCTTGCCATTCTTCAAAAATGTCATGCACTTCTTTGCCCGATGACCATCTCTTTGTCCTTTAGAAAGTCCCTCGGTTGTCACCTACTATGGAGAGTTGACCCTAACTAGTTTTCTTTCCTTCCTGTTACCAGCAACTGGGGTCATGTGTTCCTTCCACAGCTCCCTGCCAAAGCACTGTGTGGTAATTGCTTGTTCATATGTCTGTCTGCCCACCTGGGGGGACCAGGCTAATGTAGGGTGGAGAGAAGGCCTGTGGATGTGAAGGCCAGGACTGTGGCCTTTGTGCCTGTGGAGATTGCTCTACCCTCTTCCTATTTCACAGATAAAACAGAAGCAGCTAAATGTGCATCACGGCTTGCCTGGCCCAGCCCTCCCCACTCCTGTTAAGAGCCCTCTGTCAGTAGAGTATGGTGGCTAATGCCTGTAATCACAGAGGCTCTGGAGGCTGAGGCAGGAGGATCTCAAGTTCAAAGCCCCCCTCAACAACTCGGTGAGGCAAAAAGCAAAATTTGTCTCAAAATTAAACAAAAAAAATATTTAAAAGGGCTGGGGATGTAGTTAAGTGTTCCTGGGTTCAATACCTGGTACGAATAAATAAATAAATAAATAAAAACCCTCTTGTTTCTTTTGCTCTGATTTTTGGACTCTTCCATGCACTTTCTCAGAAACCCTTTTCTCCTCTCTGGCTATTGGACTCATCCCATAAGCCTTTACACAAGCTTCAATCACTCCTGCCTTGAGAGGTCCTCATTTTGTGCCCATTTCTACACTTACTCCCCAGTTACTTCTCCTTTCCAACCAGCTCCAAAACGTGTCCCTGGTCTCCCAAGGAAATCTCCTCAACTTCCACCCCTACCACCCAAACCTTCCCGTCTGGCCCCTCAAATGGCTCACACGGAGGTCTCTCATAATGTCCTAAATCTATTACATGGGAATGGATGGAGACATTCTTCCTATGGAGACTCCCATAATGCCTAAGAGTGGGCATGGTGTGGGAAATCCACCAGCCCCTCCCTAGAGGTAACCACTGTCAGTGGCTCCGTGTGAGAACTTTGGGTCCCACCTTTACACCTCTACCTACCTACAGCAGAGCAGCACTTACAGCAAATCATGTCCCGAGACCTGCGTCATTTGGCAAATTCCTGTGGAAACATTGCTGAGTGTATTTACACAAGATGGGTCACTCAATGTGGCCTCTTGATGCAATCAGGGATATGGAAAAGAGGATGTAGAAGGTGGGCCCTGGCATCACAGCACACTCTTAATCGGAAACTTTTTGTTTTTTGTTTTAATAAGCAGGAGTACAAGCTGGGCGTGGTGACTCATACCTGTGATCCCAGCAACTATACTTTGATGACTGCAGAGCAGTAGATTTTTTTATAGCAGCATCACGGTAATGTGTGGTAATGTGTTATGTTAAGCATTAGGACGTTACCATGGCTACACCATCACTAGGTGACAGGAATTTCTCAGGTCTGTGATAACCTTATAGGATCACCATCCTATATGCTATCATTGGTTGAAGGGTCCTTGTGTCGGGCATGACTGTGCATGTATATAAACACACACAGGCCCCCACACTGATTTGGGATTTTACACGAGGTTATTCCATACATTTTTTTTTTCTGTGACTCTCCTCTTACATTTAATAACACATCCAAGTGCTCTTTATACCTTAGGACTCTATGGATTTGCTAATGTTCCTTTTTTTTTTAAGTCAGGAAAAGACTTGAATAAACAGTATCATATTATCAAGTAATATTATGAAGTGATGTTTCTTAAAAATTATTTATGAATTGTGGCAAAATACACGACATAAAATTTAGCACCTTAACCAGTCACATGGTATTAAGGACATTCACATTGTTCTGCGGCCACCACTGTCATTTATCATCTTGCAAACCCATCTCTATGCATCAAACGACAATTCCCCCCCCCACTCCAGTTCCTGGAAACCGTTATTCTATTTTCTATGTCTATGTATATGGCTACTCTCGGTACCTCATGTAAGTGTTTAGCCTTTGGGGGTTGCCTTATTTCATAATCATAGTGTCCTTAATGTTATATATAACATGAGTCAGAATTAAGTAATTAATTTGTTAATTAATTAGTTGATTTGCAGCTCTGGGGATGGAATCCAGGCCTAGCAAGGACTCTATCACACCCTGAGCCACACCCTAGCCCACATTTTTATTTATTTTGGGGTACCTGATACCCAGGGGTGCTTAACCACTGAGCCTCATTCCCAGCCCTTTTTTTCCTTTTAATTTTTTATTTTGAGAAAGGGTCTTGCTAAGTTGTTAGGCCCTCACCAAGTTGCTGAGGCTGGCTTTGAATTTGAGATACTGAGATCCTCCTGTCTCAGCCTCCAGAGTCGCTGGGACTATAGGTGTGCCCCACTAGACCTTGCTCTACCTTTTCTTCTTTTTTTTTTGGAAAGAAGCGCGCGCAGCGGGGGGGGGGGGAGAGAGAGAGAGAATTTTTTTAATATTTATTTTTTTACTTTTCAGCGGACACATGAACATCTTTATTTGTATGTGGTGCTGAGGATCGAACCCAGCGCTGTGCACATGCCAGGCGAGTGCGCTACGGCTTGAGCCACATCCCCAGCCCCTCTACTTTTTCTTTTTAAGGCTAATTATATTTGAGTGTGTGTGTGTGTGTGTGCGCGCGCGCGTGTGTATACACCACATTTAATTTATTCATTTATCTATTGTCGGATCCCTTGTATTCTTTCCACTTTTTGGCTATTATAATTAATGTTACTAAAAACACACATGTGCAAACATCTGTTACAGGTTCTGCTTTCAATTTCTTTGACTATATACCTAGAAGAATTTCTTAATCATATATCAATATTTTGAGGAACATCTTTCTTTTTTAAATATTTTTATTTTTACATTTATGTGGTGCTTAGGATCAAACCCAGTGCCTCATGCATGAGAGGCAAGCACTTTACCACTGAGCCACAACCCCAGCCCCACCTTTCCTTTTAATACCTGCATTATAATGTCTTAATATGAACCAGTCACATATCTACTGATAAACACTGAAGTCATCTTAATGATATTTTTTCTTGTTGTAAACAATGCTGCAGTTAATATCTTTAAGGTATGTACGTGTTTACACAAATGTACATGTGCTTCTGTGGGAAGATTCCTAAAATGGGAATGTTGGGTCAAAGATATGCACACATTTTAAAGAGCATATCTTCACACACCTGTAGGCCCATCTAATCAGGCAGCTGAGGCAGGAGGATCACTTGAACCCAGAAGTTTGATACAACTGGACAATATAGCAAGACCCTGGACAACCTGGACAATATAGCAAGACCCTGTCTCAAAAAACAATAAACAAGCTGGGTGTGGCTGTGCATGCCTGTAATTCCAGCAGCTCATGAGGCTGAGGCAGGAGGATTGTGAGTTCAAAGCCAGCCACAGCAATGGCAAGGCGCTAAACAACTCAGTGAGATCTTGTTTCTAAATAAAATACAAAATATGGCCGGGATGTGACTCAGTAGTTGAATACCCCTGAGTTCAATCCCCGGGGACCAAAAAAATAAAAATAAAAACAAATTTTTTAAAGGGCTGTGGATGTGGCTCAGTGGTTAAGTTTTCCTGGGTTCAATCCCTGGTACCAAACAACAAACAAACAAAAACAACTCACAAACCAAGTTAGGCACATTTTAAAGTTTAATAGTCATTGTCAAACTATTGTCTAAGAAGTTTTCACCAACATACACATTTGTTTGTTTTCTTGCAGTATGAGGATCAAACCCAAGGTCTTGAACATGCTGGGCAAATAAATGCTCTTCTCACTGAGCTACCCAATCTAGCCCACTGACACCTGGGCTTCTCATCACCATATTTTGCCTGTGTTGACCTGCATCCTGTCCAATACTCTACACTATCCATTTTTAAAATTTTTATCAGTATGATAGTCGTGGGTTTTTAACTCTCTAGCCTGCCCCTATTCCCATAACAGAAGCAGGCCTTTTCACAGTTGGTAGTTTTGTTCACCATTTCCCTTACTGGTAGTGAAGCAGGACATCTTTTCAAATATCTGTTGGCTGTTTGTATTTCTTCTGTGATGATCTTCTTCCATTCTTTGCCCACAGCCATTCTCCGTTCTCCCTTTACAGGACCCTCTGGGGGCCTTCGCCACTGATGCCAGTTATAGAATTTTAGGTTTGAAATGATCTTCTGTGGAATTCTGCAGACAATGTTCAACCGCCTTTTAGAATCCGTGGTTGCTACTGAAAAGCCCCGATGCCATGCTGATTCCTGATCCTTATTCTGGTGACCTGTTCTTTTCTAGCTGAAAGTGCTTTGGATCTTCCCTTCACCCCATACTCTGAAATTTCACAATGTACCTCCCCCTGGGTCTCTGCATTCATCTTACTTAGGCACCTTTTAATCTAGGGACTTGAGTATTTCACTGACGGGACATTGTCTTGGTGTTTTTCCGTTTTTAAAAATAATTTCTCTTCCTTTGTTCTCTTTGAACTATTTTTATTGGATGGTAGACTTCCCAGATTCACCCTCCAAGTCTGTCCTCTCTCTTTCTTCTTTCCCTTGATTTTGATTTATCACTCTGCTATTGGGTTTTTAATTTCAGCTGAGAGCCTTCAGTTCTCAGGGCTTTCTCTTGTTTTCGGATTGATTGTTTTTCATGGCCCTCTGGGAAGAATACCAAGGGAGGAGGGCCAGGGGAGTGTAAGAGTGGCCTGGTCTCCTCATTGTACTCTTTCCCTGTCCCCTGAGGGCCGCCTCTGAGGTCCCTCATGGCTTCTCCAGTTTGGACTCTGGTGCTGCTTGTGGGGGCTGCCTGGGGCCAGGCTCCCTTGCCTGCCCCTATCTGGTAAGCTGGGCTCAGAGGTGGGTGATGTATCAGGGGGTGGCAGAGGCCTGGGAGGAAGGCAGGGAGCCTGATGGGCTGGGGAGAAGTTACCTTACCAACAGGGAGAGCACTGATCCTTCAGCCCAGAGCGTGGAATTGGGGAGAAATGAAGGAGGGTACAGAGCTAAGGAGACAGACTGAGACTGGGAGAGGAGGAGAGGCAGGTCAGACCCTTGGAAAACAGACAAAACTCAGAGTAGGCCCAACTGATAAGTGAGACTTCAAATAGGAGGCATCTAAGAAATGATGGATGTTGCCGGGCAAGGTGGCACACACCTGTAAATAAGCAGATAGGGAGGCTGGGGCAGGAGGATTCTAAATTCAAAGCCAGCTTCTGCAACTTAGTGAGATCCTAAACAATTTAGCAAGATCCTATCTCTAAATAAAAAATAAATAAATAAAAAGGGATGGGGATGTGGCTCAGTGTTTAAGCACCCCTGGGTTCAATACCTAGTACCAAAAAGAAAAAAAGAAAAAAAAAAAGGATGGTGTGGTGTCCTGGAGCTTGTGGGTAGGGGTGGGGAAGTGGGCTGAACTTGAACAAAGAAAAGAAAGGGCTGTTCTATGTGGGGCAAGAGCCTTCTCTGTGGAAATTGGTGAGGTGAGGAGGAAGGACCAGGGAACATCTTTGTTGCCCATTTATATGTTCAGTCGGGTGTAGCTGGCAAAATACCACCCACTAGCAACCTGGGGTCCATGCATTTCTACTCTCTGGGCAAAAACTTGGGCTATCTAAAAAATAAAGACCTCAACCCAAAGGAAAGAGACCCCAGTGTGAAACCCAGACACTGCATGAGAATTCCCACGCCCAGGAAACCGGGTCTGTGATGGGAGGAGGTAGAGGAGGCCTGCTTCTTAGGAGAGTGGGAAGAACTTTAGGGGAAGAGGCTGAAGGTGCCCTTCCTGAAATCCTGAAGAAGACAATGCAATGCACACTGACTGTGTGAACGCTGACATACTCAGGGAAAAAAAGAGAGAAAAAAAATTGTCTGTCCATGACTGCTCAGAGAACTCTCAATCAGGGTCTTCTAATTCTCCAGAATAACAAGAGTGATATTTTTGCTTTTTCCAAACCAATCCCAAGGACACAGAAGCCCCAGGATTTGAAACCTGCTGCTCTCAACCCAAGGGAGAAAGGTGAGTTGGAACCCGGATGACTCAGGCCTCCTCTCCCTCCCTAGGACTGAATGCTAGTCCCTAGCCCAGGGTGGCCACTTTTAGTTATCCTTGGGGCAGGGCGGTGGCATAAACATGAGACCAATGTGCAAAGGGAAGCCCTTGGACGACAGAGGGCAGAGGGAACGGTGGGGCAGAGCTTCATGTTTATAAGGCAGAGAAAGGAGGGGACAATGGAGCTTTTCCTGAAAGGAGGCAGCTCAGGAAAGGGGTGCAGTCTGGAGTCCGAATTCTTGAGTTCCAATCTCAGTCCTATGATGACAACCTTGTTGTCTGGCCCATTCCATTCCCCAGCCCTGAATTTCTCCCCAAAGTTCTGTCTCCCAAATCTCTGCTTTGGATCCCCCAATCTTAGTGACAGCCTTCTCTAAGTTTAGTGACCCTGCTGACCTCCATCTCTCAGGGTGGGTCTGTGGTCTTGGCCCCTGCCCTCTGCCCTCTGCCCTCTCTGAGGCCTCACGGGGGCCCTTTCTTTCCAGCCATTATCTCCCAGTGTGATTTTGAGGATAATTCCAAACCCCTCTGTGACTGGTCCCAAGAGTTCACCGATGATGGGGACTGGATCCGAGCCAGTGGTCCCTCCTCATCTGGCACCAGTGGGCCCCCTGGGGGTTACCCTAATGGAGGTGAGGGGTCTGTGGGAAGCCTCAGGTTTAGGGAGGGCAGATGGCAGGGGTCAGCAGGGAGCTGGGCACAGGCCAAGGGAGGGGGTGCTGCTGAAGCCTCAGGCACACCTGGGCTCTGAGCAGGGGTGGGAGGGCAGTGTTGGGGACCAAAGGCTCCAGCATCCTGGGCTCTGCCTCCCCAGAGGGCTACTATCTGCACATGGATTCCAACAACTTCCGTCAGGGTGGAGTGGCCCGCCTGCGCAGCCCTGACATATGGGAGCAAGGCCCGTTCTGTGTGCGCTTCGCCTACCACATGTTCGGGCTGTCATGGGGCTCCTGGCTCCGACTGCTGCTATTCATGGGCAAACAGAACAATCGCCCCAAATTGATCTGGAAACACACAAATACCCAGAGCCCTTCCTGGATACCTACCTCCGTCACTGTGCCCGCAGGACTCAACCTGCCCAGCTGGGTGAGGCCGAGGGAAGAGCCCCAGGGCCATCTGTGGGCGGGGGAGGGGATGCCAGGGGTATTGGAGGACCCAGAGGGCTGGGGCAAGGAGGGGGTGTGTGGTCCCTGCCATCTGAATTCAGGAAAATCAGGAGCTAAAGGCAAAGGGACAGGAGGCCTGGCCAGGGGGCTCACAGAATCAGGGATTCCCTTGTCTCCCATCCTGCAGCTGACGTTTGAGGGGATGAGGGGCAACACTCCCTACTTGGACATCTCCCTGGATGCCCTCGCTATCCATCGGGGAACCTGCAATAGGGGTGAGTCCCTCTCCCTCCCTCTCACATGCTTCTTTCTTCCTGGCCTCTGCAAATCTATTTTGGCTCAGCACCCAGGTTTCTCATGAGTCAAGACTACTGGCTTCCTTCTGCTACCTCACCCCACACCTCTGATTCCTGAAGAAGCCATACCTCAAGGAAGGTGCTCTTCCAACATGCAGTTGTGGGGATACCTTGTCTAGAGTGACCAACCAGCCTGGCTTTCCCTGGACTGTCCCTGTTTCAGCACTCAAAGTCCTGCATCTCAGAAAGCCCTCCCTTCCAAGAAAACCTGGACATTACCACCACAATCCATCTAGTATTAGATGGATCTTTCTAAACTGACCCTAGAGATTGGAGAAAATTCAAGGAAAGGAAAATTTCAGAAGCTGGGTGAAAGGAATCAACACTCATTAACCAAAGGGACTGGACTAAATTATCCATGCTCATGATCTAACTGACGACCCTAGGAGACAGAGGGGCACTGTCATTCCCAGTTTATAAATGAGAAAACTGAGGCTTGGGCAGGTCAAGTTACCTGTGTCAGGAACGCGGCCCATAGGCAAGGGGCCATGTCTGGCTGGAAAGCTAGCCACGGCTCATCATAGATCTGAGATTGGAACTCAAGAATTTTCTGACTCCAGACTACATCCCTTATCAGAGCTGCCTCCTTTCAGAAAAAGCTACATTGTCCCCTCTTTTCTCTGCCTTCAGTATGCATGATGCAAATGTGCAGTTTTGACACTATGAATGATCTCTGTGGCTGGAGCTGGATCCCATCTTCCTCTGGGGCCAAGTGGACACAGAAGAAAGGGTCATCAGGGCAGGCAGACGTGGGACCTAATGATGACTTCTCCAGTCCTGGGAGTAAGTACTGGCCATGCTTTTATCCTCGGGGCTTTCTAGGCTCTAGTGACCTCTGCATGCCCTACAATAGCTGCCATGGGTCTGTGTAGGTGAACCAGAGCAGACTCAAGCCTTTTTCAGCTCAGGTTTCTAGAAGCATGCTCTGAGCACCCCCAGCTTTCCCAGTAGCTCCACCTGGTGGACCCAACACAGCCTGCTCCTTATCTCCTTTCTCGGCATCTTTCCTTCCTTCCTTCCATCCTTCGATATTTACTGAGCACCTACAACATGCCCGGCAGTGTCTTAGGCTTTTGAGAATCAGTATGCAAAACAGACAGGAAGTGGTGTTGGTGAGGAACAGGGAGACAGATATCAAAACAAAAAAGGAAATTACAGTAAATGACAAAGTTTTGGTGTGACAAGTGCTTTGGGAAAAATCAGCTGAATAAGGGAAAGGGATCGTGGAAGTGCAAGGGTAGGAAAGTTGTGAATTTTAACTGGAGTGACCCGGATAGGTCTCCTTCAGATCACAGCTGAACACACTTGAGTTGAGGGAATGAGGCATGAAAATATTAGGAGTGTGGAAAAACATTCCAGACAGAGAAGCCTGCCATGCAAAGGCCCTGAGGTATCCCAGGCCAAGAGGGAAGAAGAGATTTGAAGTATAGCCATGGATCTAGAATGAAGAGACTTAGCTCAGATCATAGGAAAGGCAAATCATATGGAGCCTTGAAGGCCATTGTCAGGACTATGGCATTTATTCTGTGTGAATGGGAAGGAGGCTTTGCAGGATTTGGAGCAGTGGTGTGACTTGATCCGATTTATTTTTGTATGCTGGGGGTGGAACCCAGGACCTCTCACACTCTAGACAAATGCTCTACCATTTTGTTAAGAAGCCATTGAAGGGCTGAGACTGAAGCTCAGTGGTCGAGCACCTGCCTAGCACGTGGGAGGCACTGGGTTTGATCCTCAGTACCACATAAAAGTAAAATAAAGGTATTATGTCTATCCACAACAAAAAGTATTTTAAAAAGCAAAAGAAAGGATTAATTTTTTTTTTTTTAAAAAGGAGCCACTGAAGAGAACCCGCAAGAGTAGCCATTGGAGGATATTTAGGGGGTTTTATTTAGCAGGAATCCAGGCAATACAGTCTTCCTGTTTTTCCACCAAATGCTACATCATGCTTCTTTTCCCACCATCTCTCTGTTCTTTTGCCTGGGGTTTTCCTTCCTCTTCCTGCTGTTCACTCCTTCCCTCTCTCTCCCTTCTCATCTCTCTCAATCTTCTCCACACAGCCCACATTTCCAAGCCTTCAGGGCCCAGCTTTGTAGGTCCAACAGAGCTCACGGGCCCTCATTTCCTTTCTGAGAGTCCACTTCTTGTTTCTTCTCAGGCCTCTCGTCCCTTCCTTTCTGCCAGCTCGCCTTTGCATCTCTCAGCATCGTGTCCCATGCCTGGCAGTTTCAGCAAACGCTGTTTTTCTTTTAGTTTCTCTATTTTTTAGTTTTATCCATCTTGCTCCCATATATAGATATATAAATTTCTTCCTTCCTTCCCTCCCTCCCTCCCTCCTTCCTTCCTTCCACCTGAGCCACATTAAGGCAGGGTCTAAGTTGCTTAGGACCTCGCTACATTGCTGAGGCTGCCTTTGAACTTGGGATCCTCCCGCCTCGTCTTCCTGAGCCGCTGGGATGGATGATGGGCGTCTCTTTCTTCTCTTCCATTTCTCACGTCTCCTCGCTCTCTCACTCAGTTTTCCCATTCCTTTCCTTCCAATTGTTTCCATCCTCTTCTCTGCTGTCCCTCTCTGGCTTGTTCCCTTACTTTAGCCTCCTTCTCTGCCCGCACTCTCCACCGGGCTCACCTAGGGGGACGCAGCGGGAGGCCGGCACCTGAACGCACGCATGCGCGGTTGGCACGTCAGCAGCCCCCACCCTCTCCTGGCTACTCGTTACGTCACGGAGCGAACTTCAGGCTGATTGGCTGCCTGAGGGAGCGGGTGCGGGGCGGGGGACCTGCGTGCCCTCGTGCGTCGGTCTGGCTCTTCTAACAATTTGTGCGAATGGCTGTGTAAAAAGAGGGCTCGAGGGGTCAGCATCCGAAGCACTAGATTTCGGAGGCTGCTTCTGAGAGGATGCCCGTGTTTCCTAGGGCGGCGCCCTCGTCCTTATCTAGTCCAAGCACTCGAAGGAGGGTGGAAGGCCTCAGCCAGTCGTGACTTGGGGTACGCCCACCTCAGCGCTGCCTGATTCTAGGTGGCTGTTGGGGTTCCCCAGGACCAGGTCCCCATCTCAGGTGGGGTCCTACCCCTGTGTAATACCCCCTTCAATTCCAGCCACCCTACTTTATAGGACTTTTCCTTCATAGATGGCCTCTACATGCTCCTGGACCCCAAAAATGCAAGGCCGGGGCAGAAATCTTCCCTCCTGAGTCCCCCGAGCCGCTCCAATGGCTGTCTGACCCTTTCTTTCTACTATATCCTGCGGAACCGGTCTCCTGGAGCAGCCCTCCTGGTCTACGCTTCCACCTTGGGTTAGCTGCGTGGGGGTGGGGGTGGGGGGGTGGGAGGGTGGAGGATGCATTGGATTTCCACTAGCATCTCCCAGGTTTGGGTTGATGGGGAAATAAGCAGGAAGGGAGGAGGAATGTCTCAGGTCTAGGGAAATCTAAGATATGTGGGAGATTTTCCATGAAGAGGAAATGAGGACACTGGATTCTAGAAAAATGGATACATAGAGAGGGAGAGAGAAGAATTGTTTACATATGGGGCAGCGTGCTTAAATATTTCTTTTGCAATTCACCCTTCTGGGTATAGGTTTGAAGTCATTTCTCAGCTCCTCTAAGCTCACTTCTCTCACCAATTTTTCCATTGTAGGCAGCATCCGGAAACACACTCTTTTTTCAGGACAACCTGGACCCAATTGGCAGCCTACTTCTCTCAATTATACAGGACCGGGACAGATACAGGTACAGAGGATCATGGAGTCAGATCTTTGCACATGGTAGGTACTCCCAAGGCACCAGGAGCAGAGGCCCTGGGTCTCTGAATGGAATAAGGTCAGATCCGGAGCCAAGTTTGGTGGCACAAGCCTGTAATCCCAGAGGCTGGGGAGGCTGAGGCAGGAGGATCTCAAGTTCAAAGCCAGCCTCAACAAAAGCCATGTGCTGAGCAACTCAGTGAGACCCTGTCTCTAAATGAAATTCAAAATAGGGCTGGGGATGTGGCTCAGTGGTTGAGTGCCCCTGAGTTCAATCCCTGGTACCCACCCACTCCCAAAAGAAGGATCAGTTTGGGCTTTGGAGGGCTGAGGGTTTGTCCCTTGTACTTACTCCAGGCCCATTCTCTCTCTCTCCAGTTTGCCCTGGTGGGTGTGTTTGGAAGGATCCCAGAGCCAGCGGTAGCAGTGGATGCAGTCAGCCTTGCTCCCTGTGGGGGTGAGAGCAGGGCTCTGGGAGGCCCCCTGGAGTTGGGGATGGTAGGGACAGCAATGGAGAGCACTGCCTCAGTTTCTCAAACCTCCCTCTGGACCTACTAGACAGCTTTCCTCAGTGCAACTTTGAAGACAAAGCCCGTCCCTTCTGTGACTGGACCCATAAATCAGAAAGTGGTGGACAGTGGTCCTGGGGAAGTAGAACTATTCTCAACAACATCACAGGCCTTGTGGGTGAGTTCTCTTATCAAGGTGAGGAGATTGAGGACCTCTCAACTCAATGAATTGCTGAATCTGCAATTGATGGAGGACATTGGAGGTGGTGAAGAGGAGCCAGCAGTGTTTATTGGGAAACTGTTATGGGTCCAGAGCTGAAGAGATGACAGTAGACACAGTTAAGGGTTCTCATGGCTGTAGGATTACTGCAATTCCCTAAGAAAATGAGTCCTCCCACTTCATTAAGTCTAAGCCTTCAAAACTGACAATCTCATATCTCAGCCGAGGCATTGACAGGTACATTTATGGAGTCTAGGTTGCAGGTTTTGTTTTTTTCCCCCATATTCTCCAGTTAGAAATCCAAAGTCAGTAGGAAACAATGCCATCATGTGAGGTGTTTGGTTACTTGCTTAGATGCCCACTTAGAAAGCCAGAAATAGCAAGTAGACTTGCTGTTGTGCCGGTGTCTCATCTTGCTGGCTCCCCTCTTTTTCCCAGGGAATCATTTTATCTACTTTGAGGTGGACAAGGTCTCCAAAGCAGGGCAGTCTGTCAAACTGACCAGCCGGCCCTTCTGTGCCCCTGGGGATATCTGCGTGGAATTTTCTTACCACATGAATGGCCCTGGAGAGGGCAGTACACTCATTCTCCTGCTGAGCAGCCCTGCTGGAAGTTCCCCTTCTTCTCTGTGGAACCGTGTTGGGCCCCAGAGCCCTAGCTGGCTCAATGCTTCTACCACCATCTCTTCAGGACACCGGCAGCCCATGCAGGTGAGAGATGGAGAGTGGGCCCCATATGTGTCTGCATGGCCTGTGGTAAGGGGATTCAGAGCTAGGTGTGGGACTGAGAAGGTGGAAAGGGAGCAGAGAAGAGTTGAATGAAGGATTCAAGGCCCTGGGTAGGTTGGACCGTTGGGTGCCAACAGGTAGTGGACACACCTGGCAGAGTTGTTGAGTTGCCATGGAGTCTTTTCATTTCTCTCTTCAGCTGATTTTTGAGGCCATCCGGGGTAGCAACCCCGCTTTTATTGTTGCTGTGGGTTTCATCTTGATCGGTCAAGGTTCTTGTCGAGGTAAGACAAAACCCTGGGCTCTAGGAAGGGTGCTAGGCCCTGGCATGATCACCCTGGCTCCTCTATAGGAGCTGTGTAAAATGCAAGTCCTCTTATGCCTAGGACTCACATAGCGGATGTGTGTTTCTATGTCCTTCCCACCTCTACTGTCCCTGTACTGTCAGGATGCTTGCTTGAGCGAAGGTGTCTTTGATGCCATAAATCTCTAGAGCAGCATCCAGAACGCTTTCCCTAGTGATCCTATAGGCAAGACCTGTAGACTCGACAGGTCTTTCCCCTCCTCGTCATTTTTGTGTTTCCCGTACCTGGCACAAAGCAGGTGTACGTGGGGAGTGCTGTTTGTTGAGTGTTTGTTAAGTGAGTGAAGTTGTGGGTTGGGAATGAAAAGTAAGGTCGGTCCTTTGAGCCCACCAACTCTGGCTGGCTGTGAGTGAAAAGTGGGTGATATGATTTTGACTGAATTCCAAGGATTTGTTTTTCTTTGTAGCCACAACAGCAGCAGGGCTTTCTACCGCATCTCCAAGTTCACAAACTGAATCATTTGAAACCAGTGTCTCCACAGAAGCACCCACCACCACCACCACAGAGAAACCCACTGAAACCACTGAGGAAACCACTACCCCCACTACTACCACTACCCCCACTACTACCACTACCCCCACTACTACCACTACTACCACTACTACCACTACTACCACTACTACCACTACTACCACTACTACCACTACCACCACTACCCCCACTACTACCACTACCCCCTCTACTACCACTACCCTCACTACCCCTACCACCCCCACTACCCCTACTCTCCCCACTACCTCCACTATCCCCACTACCCCTACCACCTCCACTACCTTCACCGCCTCCACCATGAGACCCTTTGTCATCACCATCGAGGTAACCACCCCCACAGAGCAAGTCACTGATATCACCGAGGAGATCACCACTGCCACGGAGGAACCCACTGAGGAAATCACCACTGCCACAGAGGAACCCACTGAATTCGAGGAGACCACCTCGGCCACAGAGGAAGCCGCTGAAACCACTGAGGAGATCACTACCACAGAGGAACCCATCGAAACCACCCCGGAGACCACTACCACCACCACAGAGGAACCCACTGAGACCACCCCGGAGACGACGACGACGACAACGACCACGACGACCACCACCACCACCACCACCACCACCACCACCACAGAGGAGCCCATCAAAACCACCCCGGAGACCACCACCACAGAAGAACCCACTGAAGCCACGGAGGAGACCACCGTAGAGGAACTTCCTGAAGCCACTGAGGAGACCCCCACCCCGGTGGAGGAACTCACTGAAACCACAGAGAAGCCCTCAGCTTGTACTGAAGAATCCTGCCCTAGTACATCGGACCTGCCCGCTGGGCCATCAGTCTTGGTGAAGCCTCTACACTTTCACAAGAGCACCACTTCCCCGACTACCACCACCACCTCTATGACCACTACCACCACCACTACCACTACCACCACCCCCAAAACTACCAAAGGTATATGGGGACAGAACTGGGCCAAAGAGCTGAAAGTAAGAGACAGCGAGTAGGACAGAGTTGGGGAGAGGAATTCTTCCAGTGGGAAGTCAGCCTTCTTATGGGAAGATGGCCCAGTCCCATCCCTCCAAAGATGACAACTTTGGAAGAATACTGCCCAGAGCTGGAGGGACATGGGGCAGGAGTGGGTGGAGGCAGGTGGGCATGAGCTCCAGGCTTTTTTCCTATCCTCCTTATATTTTATGGAGAGAGTTCATATACCATATAACTCACCTTCCCACCCTACCCGCACACCTGGGTCCTCACTGCAGTTTTTTGGGTGCTGGAAATCAAACCTAGGGCTTCATACATGCCAAGCATATGCCCTACTACTGAGCTGCATCCGCAGCCCCTCACCCTTTTAAAGTCTCTAATTTAATGGTTGGAACATATATTCATAAGCTTATGCAACCAGTATTCCATTCTTTCTTTTAAAAATTTTTTGGTTGCAATGGAAATAATACCTTTATTTCATTTATTTATCCTTTTTTAAAATATATTTTTTAGTTGTAGATGGACACAATATCTTTATTTTTATTATTTATTTATGTGATGCTGAAGATTGATCCCAGGGCCTCACACTTGTGAGGCAAGCGCTCTACCACTGAGCCACAACCCCAGCCCCATTTGTTTATTCTTTATGTGGTGCTGAGGATCCAACCCAGGGCCTCACATGTGCTGGCAAGTGCTGTACCACTGAGCCACAACCCCAGCCCCCAGTATTCCATCTTTATTTACATTTTTTTTTATCCCAGAAAGAAACCCCATAAGCTCCTCCCTGCTTCTTCCCAGTCCCTGATGACACTGATCTCCTTTCTGTAACCATGGATTTGCGTGACCTGGACATTTCAGACAAATGGAATCCTATGTGAGCCTTTGTATCTGTCTTTTGTCGCTGAGTACGATGTCATCAGGTCCATCCATGTTGTGGCTACATATTCCTTTTGATGGAGGGACAATATGGGCCTACTTCTTAGAGGAGAACTTGAGTTTGGGGATGGGGGAGAGACAGGAAGGCCCTGGGAACAGCTCCAGAGTGAAGGTTTGATGAGATCATGTTTTGCCTTTAGTGAAGTGCTCCCCAAATTCCCACTATGAATCCTGTGCCTGCCCTGCATCCTGTGAGAACCCCAAACCCAACTGCAATATACTCTGCCAGCCAGGCTGTGTCTGCAATCCTGGTTTTTTGTTTAATGACAACAAATGCATCAATGCCTCTTCCTGTGATTGTGTCTACGGCAAAAGCTACTATAAGGTAAGTCCACAGGGATGCTGGTTCCCCTGAGGGAGACTGATGGCAGAACACCTGGGTCCTCACTGCATTTGTGCACTGGGATGAGATGAACTTGGATCGTCCCCAGGGGTAAGCTCAAAGCTGTGGCTTCACAGTGACAGAGTCCTCCATTCAGCATGGGTTTTGTTCCTGTTGTTTTGGTTTTGTGGTGCTGGTGATCAAACTCAGGGCCTTGCTCAAGCGATGCAAGTGCTTCACCACTGACCTTTACCCCCATCCCTCAGCCTGTGGTGTTTTGATGATTCTCTCTGTTCATACCATATATCTGGGGTACGTGCCTCTTTTGGCACACCGTGATGCTAATCTGTGCTGATGAGCTAGTCACTCATGGTCCCTGGCTCCATCCCCAGCACCAAACCAGCAACAACCAAAATATGTGGAGAGATTTCTAGAATTCTCTTCTGCCAAAGAAACTTGCAAATCCTGAAATCTTGGTAAGCTCAAAAGACAGAAGTCACTAACTCTCTTTGCCTCCCTGAATTGATGGTCTGCTGGGGAGATTGGATAGAGCACAGCTCCAGAGGGAACAGGCTGTGAGCCAGAGCTGTTTGGTAGGAGTGGCGTGGGGGTCATGTTAGGTTGCCCAATAGCCATGATAAGAAAGCGGAAGGGATGAGGCTGATGGTAGAGCTCTGAGACAACACACACAAGGCCCTGGGTTTGAGCCCCAGCACCACTGGGAGGAAAAAAAGCACAAGGAAATATTTTTTTAAATAAATAAAAAAAAAAAACACAAGGAAATTGGTAAAATTCATTTCAATAATTTATAGTCTTCCTTTGGAACCAGGAGAGATTTGTTCCAGAACAATCCTCCAAAATCCCAAAATCTGCCCAAGTCAAGTGCCTTATATAAATGGCATAGCATTTACCAACATATACAGATCCTCCTGGACTGTTTGAATCATCTCTGGGTTATCTATAATACCTGATGCAGTATAAATGCTATGTGAATAGTATTGTTTTAGTAGTTGCTAGGAGGTACATGTTCAGTATAGATGCAATTTTTAAAAAAAAATTACCTTTCATCCTCTGCTAGTTGAATCTGCAGGTGAATCTCTAGCTATGGAGGGCTTACTGTACTAAATTTCAAATATTATCATTTCAGTGTTTAATCAATAAAGAGTTACTAGGGCTGGGTGTGGCTTAATGGTAGGGCACATGCTTTCATGTGCAAGACCCTGATGTTGACTCCCACACTGGGGGTAAAAAAGAGCCTAATTGATGAGATGGTTAATTTTAGTTTTTTTTCCTCATGCTAAATCTTCAAAATCCAGTGTATATGTTACACCTATAGCATATGTCAGTGTGGACTGGCCATGTATCCAGAGCTTAGTAGCATGTGCCTGGTGGCCTGAGTGACGGGGCAGGTCTAGAGCCAGGCCAAGCAGAGCTTGTGCCCAGGCTGGGTTCATTCACTGAGTGACCTTGGGCAAATTTCTTTACCTCTTTAAACCTGTTTCCATATCTATAAAAGTGTGCAAAATAGGATTGTTGTAAGGATGCAATTAGATCCTGACACATGCAAACTACTTAGTAAATGTTCATTATTATTATAACAATTTATGATAAATATCATATGCAGCCTATTAATTAAGTGCATTAAGCTATTCATTAGTACCTGGTGCTGCCCCTCAGCTGCAGGTGTTCTGCCCTTTGGCATCAGAGCTCCTACTTCCTTCTTCAGGGACTGCTTCCTACTGTGTCCCCTTTAACCAGTCTCCTGGGGCTCCCTAAATGGGTGATAGGTCTGGGTTCAGCAACAGCCTGGGCAGAAGGATCGTTGTGACCATCAGTATCAAGGGTCTCTTCACTGTCCTGGGATGGCATAGATGCATTCAGCAAATGTCCATTATTTAGTACTTTCTACCCACCTGGTATGGAGTCACCATGAACGTGGCAAGCTCCTTGGCTGTCTTTTTTTTTTTTTTTTTTTTTTTGGTACTAGAGATTAAACTTGGGGGCACTCAACCAGTGAGCTGCACCTCCAGTTCTATTTTGTATTTTATTTAAAGACAGGGTCTCACTGAGTTGCTTAGCAAGCCTTAGCATGCTAAGACTGGCTTTGGATTCGTGATACTCCTGTCACAGCCTCCCGAGCCGCTGGGATTATAGACATGCACCACTGCACCCAGCAGCTCCTTGTCCTTCTAATGCTCTCAGATTTAGAGGGGCACACATTGGGCCTTGGTTGACTCTTCTGCTCAGCAATTATTTATTTATTTATTGGTACTGGAGATTTAACCCATGGGCACTTTCCCACTGAGCTACATCTCCAGCCTTTTTTGTTCGTTTTTTAATTTTGAGTCAGTTTTTAATTTTGACTCACTACATTGCTTAGGGCCTTCCTAAGTTGCTGAGGCCGGCTTTGAACTTGTGATCTCCTCTAGTCTCAGCCTCCTGAGCTTCTGGGATCATAGGCATACACCACCATGCCTGGCTCAGCAAGTACTGATTGAACGAGAGTTTCTATTGTGACATGTTGGGGCCAAGATGGTGTGTAAAGACAGACATAATCCCTGCTTGGGACACTTATAATCAATCATAAAAGAAATCTAAAAGTGCAACTGTGGAAAGTCCTTGGAAGAAAGGTCCCCAGAGATGTGAGGATGACCTTGTCAGGGGGTCTGGGCAGTCTTTCTGAGAAAGTTGTCCTTGAGCTGAACTCTATTGGTTGTAGAAGAATGAATTAGAAAGACAGGGAGGGTCAACACAGTGGTCCATGCCTGTAATTCCAGCCACTTGGGAGGCTAGGAGAATCACAAGTTCAAGCCAGTCTCAGCAACTTAGCAGGCCCCTATCTCAAAATAAAAAATAAAAGGGCTGGGGATATAGTTCAATGGTTAAGCACCCCTGAGTTCAATCCCCAGTGCTACACACACACACACACACCACAAACACACACACACACACACACACACACACACACAAAAGATGGAGAAGGAGGAGAAAGATGGGAAAGGAAGAGCCTTCTAGGATAGGAGAATAGTACATGCAAATGTCCTGTGGTTGGAAAAGGGAGTGCAAACAAGTTTAGGTGTGCACGTTGGGCAGCACCCTCTTCCCTGGGTAAGGTAGAGGAGAAGGTGGAGGCCTCAAGAACTATGGCTCTGTAACTCTAGATCCCTTGCTCCCAGTTTGGGCAAGAATGGTTCAGCCCCAACTGCACAGAACGTTGCCAATGCCTTGCTGGCAGCCGTATGGAGTGCCATATCTCTGAGTGTGGATCACACACAGTGTGCCAGCTGAAGGATGGCGAGTATGGATGCCACCCCTATGGTGAGTACCTCCTTGCATGCTCTCGAAAGGAGTATGACACCAAGATCCTAAGCTGTCTTTGGAGCAGAGGAGCAGGGATGTGTCACCAGCTGGGAGACTTGGGGTATGGGATCCAGCCTGACTGGGCAGTGGAAGCAGCTTCCTGGGTCCTCCTTTCTCCCCTCTGTAGGCACTTCCACCTGCATGGTCTATGGTGACCCTCATTATGTCACCTTTGATGAGAGGCACATCAACTTCTCAGGCAAATGCACCTATGTCTTGACTCAGCCCTGCCGAAACTCTTCAAGTAGGTCCTGAGGGCCTGAGGTCAGAGGAGGGGGCTCTGAGGGGCACAGTGGTGGCCAGCAGGACAGGGAACAGAGGAGGGACAGGACAGGGCTGGGAGCAGAGGAAAGGAAGAGGTCATCCTGGAGCAAGGTCCTCTTAAGGTGAGGGTGGAAACCATCCCCTCCCCATCCAGAGCCAGGAGTCTAGGGCTCAGACTTCTGGGGAAAATGCAGTCTGAGATATCAGTTGTGTCCTCAGCCAGCTCTTATTGAGGGCCCATGTGACACAGTGGCAATCACTGTTACAGAGACTAGTGAAGGTGCACAGATAGCCTGGAGGGTGTTACTACACACAAGGGGAGATGCAGCGGTGCAGGCTGTTCTGGAGGAGGGTAGACATCCACCCCTTCCTGCTTGTGTCCTGCCTCCTCTTCTAAACTGCAGGGCCTGTGTTTTACCCACAGTGCCAGGCTTCGATCCATGGCACACACTTGAGATATTATTACTGAGCTGGCGTGTAGCTCAGCAGTAGAATTGCTTGCCTAGCATGTGTGAGGCCCTAGGTCAAATCCCCAACACTGCAAAAAAAAAAAAGAAAGAAAGAAAAGTTTACTGAATGAGCCCTTCTCCCACCCAGACACATTCTTCAAAGTCTTAGCCAAGAATGAGGAATGGGGACCCAGAGGACTGACCTGCCTGAGCAAGGTTCATGTGATCCTGTCTGAGACTACCATCACCCTGCTCAAGGGCAGACAAACACTGGTGAGCCCCATCCCCCATCCACCCCTGCTGGGGCAGCTAAATGTGACCAAGACCTGCTCCTGGTCAGCCCCAGCCCAGTGGGCATTGATGGTGAGGCTCCAAGCCGCTGTGGTGGAAGAGGTTGTTAGGATGCCGTGAAGGATGTTATACCTTGTGGCTGTGGATACGGGAGTCTTGGGGTCTTCCTTGATCCCCCTGATCAGTCTCTCTGCCCCTTCCTCTGCCAGGTTAAGGGTCAGCGAGTCACCCTCCCAGTCAGACCTTCTAAAGGTGTCATCATACGTCCAAGTGGGCGGTTTGTGAAAGTGAAAACAGCATTTGGTTTGCTTATAAAGTGGGACGGCCACCAGCAGCTGTTTGTGACTATGTCCAGGTGAGGGAGCATCTCCGCCAGGCAGCTGAGGCTTCTCCCCACCAGGGCTCCTCCATCCACCTCCCTCTTTTTTCCATTCCAAGCACTAGCGCTCAGTCACTTCTGTTCCTCCCAAAGGGTAGGAAGCACCTAGCTCAAGTGGTCAGCCTTCCCTTAGACGGGGAGACAGAAGGAAATGGTTTCCGCACAGTGGAATAATGGCAGGATGTACACACAATGCCTTGGGAATGTTCTAGAGGAGGAGTTGCTCACATGCTCTGGGGCTGTCTTCTTGGCTCCCCAGATGGACAGACAAGGGAAAGACAGTCTTTTTAGACCCACACACATAGAGCGAGCCAGAGTGGTATAGAGCCGGTAAGGTCAATCATGACCGGATGTTGGGGCTGAAGGGAGACCACACAGCTGGCTCCAGGTGTGCCACCCATGTCAGGAGTAGGTCCTTCTCTATCCCTTTTGAGCCTTCTCCTCTGGGCCCGCAGCTCATTATCCCCTCTACTCCAATGACGGAGGCCCCTTCACCCCATTCATGCTCCCCCCTCTCCTGGGTCCCACAGTGTGTTCTCAGGCAAACTCTGTGGTTTCTGTGGAAACTTTGACGGGGACAGCAGCAATGACAACCTGAAGCCAGATGGTGAGCCAGCTGAAGACGATGAGGATCTGGGGAACAGCTGGCAGACCGAGCAGGAGTGAGGAGACCCCACTGGGGGCCCATGGGCTGCTCTCCTTCCCCACTCTCTCACTTTGGGCCCTTTTAACCAACCAGAACCAGGTGTGATGGTGCACACCTGTAGTCCCAGCTACTTGGGAGGCGGGAGGATTGCTTGGATCCAGGAGTTCAAAGCCAAACTTGGCAACATAGAGAGACCCCTCTCTCTTTTTCTCCCTGGAGACTCCAGATTTTCCCACCTCCTTTGGGCACAGCCTTGTTGACAAATGGCATAGGGCCCCAATTGGAAGTGAGCCATGGACTTTAGCATTTGACTGGGTCTCTTTTAGGTGCGAGGGTATCGAGACACGTACCCCAACTTGTGGACGAGCCTTGCAGAGCACTATGTCAGGGTCCAAGTTCTGTGGCCAGCTTGTCAGCTCCAAAGGAGTATTTGAGTATGGAGGAGGGCAGGCGGGGCTGCTGGGCACCAAAGTCCTCCAAGGTGGAGGCTGGGAAATGCCACCCCCTCCTCCCCTCTAACCTGGGCTCTTTCCTCAGGGAATGCCAGCTTCATGTGAAGGTCTCTTCCTTCTTTGACAACTGCATGAATGACATGTGCAACTTCCAGGGCTTCCATCTCATGCTTTGTATCCATCTTTCATTCATGACTGCGGCCTGCCAGCACGCTGGCTATGCTGTGAAGCCCTGGAGGAAACCCCAGTTTTGCCGTGAGTTGTGACTGGAAGCTGGGGAGAGGACACCTCCCTGCAAATGCAGAGAGGCCATTCCCATGGGCTTGGGATGCGTTGAACCTCCCACTTCACCTGAGGTTAGGAAAATGGGCAGAGTTGGGAGCATCCCTGAGATAATCACAGTCACTTGCAAACTCAACAGTAGCCTTGTAGCTACTGATGCTGCACAGGACAAGTACAGGTGTGTTCACATGCCTGGCCAGTTCCTCTGATATGGGCAGACCTGAGCTAGAAGGGCACCAAGCTGCCTTACAGCTCCAGGGATGGCTGGGCTCTCTGGGAAGGTGCTTTAGAGCTGACCCAGCCCCTGGACTCGGCCTCTCCCTGCATGCCTGGGGCATGTCTACACAGCAGTATGGTTGAGGCTGTACTTTTGTGGCTCAGTCTGCTTCCATGAAAGTCCAAGGTAACATTCAGGTGACCACCTCTTAGCACAGACAGCTGGCCCTGTAGGCCCTAGGAGTCAGTGGGCTCCTTTTTAAAGCCTCTCTACTAAAGATTGGCGGGAGCCTTTCTAGCTGGGGACTTCCAAGCACATTCTTCCCTTTTCTGCCTCAGTCTCACCCGTCTCCTTACTTGAACTTCTCCCTCCACAGCCCTGATCTGTCCAGCCAATAGCAGTTACTCTTTGTGTGCCGATCCATGCCCTGACACCTGCCATTCGGGATTCTCTGACAAGACCTGCCCAGACCACTGTTTGGAGGCCTGCGAGTGTAACCCGGGCTTCATCCTCAGTGGCCTTGAGTGTGTCCCTCCATCCCAGTGTGGGTGCCTTGACACTTCAGGAACCTACTTCAAAGTGAGTGGCTGGGGTGGGCCTCTCAGCCCTGGAGCCAAGGGGCGCTTGCTCCCTGGGCCAGGGTGAGAGGCCAGAGAGAGAAAGCAGGGGAACACAGGAGGGCAGGAGATTTAGGCCTGGGGTTTGGGAAATTCTGACCCTGATCTAATTTCCTTTTGTGTGTGTGTGTGGTGCTGGGGATCAAACCCAGGACCTTGAATATGATCTGCCATTGAGCTGCACCATGGAGCCCTCCAAGTTCCCCTTTCTTCACCTGTAGTCCTTTCCACACAGGCTGGGATGACATCATGGCACGCTTTTTCCCATGATACGTCTTAAGAGTCTGAGACCCTCCTTCTGTCCCCTCCCATCATCCCTGCTGCCGCTCTCAGCTGTCATTTTACCGATCATTTTGCCCAGATTTTCCATCCTCTGAAATCCTGAGTAGTTCTGTGTCTCACCTGTGCTATTTTCAAATCTTGTCTCCTCTGGAGGGTCCCACTCTGCAGAAGGGCCTGTGTCTCTTTCTCTGCACACCTGTTTTCACTCTTCTCAGAAGCATCACTGAGAACTAGGCTCTGTGCCCAGCTCTCACCAGAGGTCTGGCAATGACACCAGTCTCCAGAATAACCCTCTGCCATCTGATGTTCACCTGGCCATCCTCCATTTGGGGGTTCAGCTCCAGGCTGAACCCCCAAATGCTCCCAGTCCAAGTCTTGCTGTGGCCACCCCCCCCCCTCACTTGGTGCTGAAGATCGAATCCAGTCCTTTGTGAGCAGAAGCAGGCACTCTACAACGGAACTGCACCCCGTGCCATGCTCTGACCTTTTCCCAGTTCCTTTTATACCCTGCTGTACTTCTCAGCCTCTGCCTGTTGGGACCCTTCCCCTCCCTTGAGGCCCTGTTGAAATGCTCCCTACTCCTTGAAGCCTTCCTGATAAGCAGAGTCAGGAAACTTCTCTCAGAATTCCCATTATCAGGTGCTTATTGCTGGTGTCCATGGCGAGAAGTGATCTTTGGGTGCCCTGGTGGTTCCACTTGGACGCACATTGGAGATGTGTATCCAAGAGTTGACTTGCATTTATTGTCCCCTGTTGGATTGTGAGTTCTGTCAAGACAGAGACATTTTCCATCTGGTTCATTACTGAATTCCTGACACCTCCCACGATACACAGACAGCTCAGCTGAAATAGTGAGCAAATAAATGATCAAGCGATTCCATCCCTGAGCCAACACCAGAGTTTTACAGCTAAGCATAGAACTTTTGAGAGACAGAATGCCCCGTGAGTAGGCCAGCCCTTGGAGCGGCAGTGGGCTCTTGTGTTGGACCTGGGAAAAGCTGCTTTCTTTTCTTTCTCCAGCTAGGGGAACAGTGGTACAAACCAGGCTGCAAGGAGTTCTGTGTCTGTGAAAAGAACAACAAAATTCACTGCCAGCCCTGGAAATGTAAGGCCCAGGAGGCCTGTATGCTGCAAGATGGCACCTATGGCTGCCGTGCCCGAGGTGAGAGGTCAGGAGAGCAGGTGAGCAGGGGGCCTCAAGCAAGGGGAAGATCCTGCCCAAATCTTCTTCCCCAGAGAGCTGGGACCCCAGAGGCTGTGAATTAGTCAGCTTGAAATTATTGTAACATATACCCCTGAGATAAATAAGCTTATAAAGAGAAAGGGTTTTTTTGGCTCATTGGCTTCTGGGCCTGTGGTGAGGCAGCTAGTCACAGTGGGGAGTATGTGGCTGAACACAGCACTGCTTCCCTCAGGGCTGGGACAAGAGGAAAAGAAAAGACACCAGGGTCCCTCAAATCCCTTGCAAGAGCATCCCCCAATGACCTAAAACCTCCCACTAGGCTCCACCTCTTAACATTTATACTACCTCCCAAGAGCACCAAGCCAAAGACCAAGTCTGTAACATGGGCCTTTGGGAAATATTCCAGATGGAAACCATCCCAGGCTGGGAGGCGGTTTCCTAGGTCAGGAGCAGTATCTTCCCAGGTTCAGTGTGGAGTTGGGGAGGGTTGTCTCCCTCCTTGTCATCCCAAGCCAAGCCAACTTTATCTCCTAGAGAAACGCCAAGTTCAAGGATGGGCTGTAGGTACCATACCAATGTGGGCTCAACAAGGTGGCAGCCCTGGATCAGGGCTTCCTGGGCACGGTGCAACAAGACTCCAAGCCCTGTCATCTCTTTCCAGGGGCGGCCACCTGCAGCGCCTCGGGCGACCCCCACTACTTGACCTTTGACGGAGCTCTGCACAACTTCATGGGCACCTGTGCCTACGTCATGGTCCGCCCTTGCAATGTCAGTTCCCGAGAGAACAACTTTCTTGTTACCACCACCAATGAGATCCGCGATGGGAACTTGGAGCTCTCCTACATCAAGTCTGTCAACGTGCAGATCTTTAACCTCAGAATCTCACTGATTAAAGGTCGAAGGGTTGTGGTGAGTACTGCTTCTTCCTCCCAGGCCCTCCCCAACCCAGCCTGCTGGTCCCTCTTCTCCTGAGCCCCTGAGGGTACCAGGCAGCCCCCTCCTCCTTGGACTCCCTCCTCTCTCCCTGAAACATCCGTCACTCCTTCCTGCTCCCAAGATTTTGCCTTCCTTTGATCTTAATCCCCAGTTCCCGACTCCTCTACTGCATCCCCCACCTCTGCAGGTGAATGGCTTTCGGATATCCCTTCCCATGTGGCCTCTGGCAGGCCAGGTGATCGTTAGGCTCAGTGGCTCTTTTATTTTGCTCTACACGAACTTTGGGCTTCAGGTTCGCTATGATGGGAAGCACCTGGTGGAGGTGACAGTACCCTCCTCCTATGCTGGCCAGCTCTGTGGGCTGTGTGGTGAGCTCCCTGGGAAACTGGGGAAAGCTGGGACAGGGTTGGGCTCTACAGTGAGGTCTTGGCCTCCCCACACATCTCCATTAGGTGTCCTGAGTGTTGGTCAACCGACGAATCCCTTGAGGACACTGGGCCACAAGAAGGAATAAGTCTAGATGTTGGGGGGGACTTTCCACGTGGACTCGCAAAAGGGGTCATTGAGCATGGATGAAATCAGCTGGTGTTCGCAAGCTGGAGATGGGGAAGAAAGGGTTAGCTTTGATGTGCAGAGAGGGCAAAAAGTGAGGGGGCCCCCTTCTGGTTGGGAAGGTGGTGGCCTGGGCTGGGGTAAGCCTGTGCCTCTGTTGCCTCCGCTAACTGCCTCTTCCTTCAGGGAACTACAACAACAACAGCCTAGATGACAACCTACGCCCAGATAAGAAACCCATAGGCAGCTCGGTGTATCTGGGGGCCTCCTGGAAGCACTCAGATGACTCAGAACCCGGGTGAGCATGGGGCAGGGAGCAGGGGTGCTGATACTGGGGGAAAACCTTAGAAGGCCTCCTGGAGGCCTTTGTCCCCTGGGTATCCCTGTTCCCTCTGTGCTGTCCTGCCTGCCCTGACACCGCTCCATTTCTCCTCTTAGGAAGCCCCCTGGCCAGCTTGCCTTATTCCTTCCTGCTGTAGTTCTTGGCCTTCTTGAGGGTGCCATGTAATTCTCTTCTCCTGAGCCTCTTCGTGTTCCTCACTCACATGTGCTTCAGTTTGGAGGACATTTTCTCAGTCCTGAGTGTCTGTCCTTTCCTCCCTTTATTCAGCTGCTTCCTGAGGGGTGGCATATCCTCCAGCTGCCAATATAACAGCACGTCGGACAGCTGGAATAAGAGCTGTGCCATCTTGGTGGACCCTCAGGGTAAGACACACTCCCTGCTGGCCCTTTGCCCTCCTCTCCACCCCAGGGGCTGGATACGGAGGAGGAAGACTATAAGGCAAGAAACCAGAGTAAGATCAGAAACACTGGAGTCTGGAAGCACAGGTGGCCTGGCCAGCATCACCCCCTTGGGAGCCAGGGCTGACCAGGCCCCTTCTGTGTCTTAGCCAGTATTTCCCAATAAACCCAGGTTTTGATGGAAAGGAATGTCCAGTGAGCCCCTTAGAAGACACAGGTCCTGCTCGTTCCCCAGGCTCACCCTCTGCTCTCCCCACCTTGTGTCTTCCTCCAGGGCCCTTCTCCATGTGCCACGACGTGGTACCCCCGCAGGCCAGCTTCTACAGTTGTGTGTATAGCCAGTGTGGGACCAAGGGCAGCACTGTGGCCCTGTGCCACTCCCTGCAGGCCTATGCGTCCCTGTGTGCTCTGGCTGGCCATGCCCTTGCCTGGCGCAACAGCAGCTTCTGCCGTGAGTGACCTTACCACCTACTCCCACAGCCCCCACACCCTGGTCTTCCTCTCCCCCACAATCCGCATTTCGACCTGCGCAGAGCACTCCCGCTCACCTGGAGCCTTCCTCTGTGGTCTACTCCACCTCTCCAACCCAGCACCGGAGCCTCCTGCATCTGATTCTCTTCTCATGAAAAATTTCTGCCTTGCCAAGTGTGGTGGCACACACCTGTAATCCCAGTGGCTCTAGAGGCTTGAGGCAGGAGGAACACCAAATTCAAAGCCAGCCTTAGCAACTTAACGAGGCCCTAAGCAACTTAGTGAAACCTGTTTCTAAATAAAAATGTAAAAAAAGAGCTGGGGATGTGGCTCAGTGGTTAAGCACCCCTGGGTTCAATCCCTGGTACCAAAAAAAAAAGAAAGAAAAAAAAAAGAAATTATCCAGTGGAAACAGCCTCCTTCCTTTTTCCCTGGGCCAGCTCTCTTCCCTTTCTTTTCTTCCCCCCCCCCCTTCCTCCTCCCTTCTTATGGTACTGGGGATTGAATTCAGGGCCTCCTACAGGCTAGGTGAGTTCTCTACCACTCAGCTACACCCCCAGCCCTTTTCATTTTATTTTGAAACAGGGTCTCACTGAATTGCCCAGGCTGGCCTTGAACTTGTGATCTTCCTGCCTCAGCCTTCCCAGTATCTAGGATTACAAGCTCTGTTCCCTTTCTTTCTTTCTTTCAGAAAAGTTGTTAAAAAAAAAAAAAAATTGAAGCCAGCCATGCACGTGGTGTGCAGGCCTGAAATCCCAGTAGCTCTGGAGGCTGAGGCAGGAGGATCTCAAGTTCAAAGCCAGCCCTCAGCAAAAGAAAAGTTGCTGAGCAACTCAGTGAGACCCTGTCTCTAAATAAAATACAAAATAGGGCTGGGGATGGGGCTCAGTGGTTGAGTGCCCCTGAGTTCAATCTCTGGTACCCCCCCACAAAAAAAAAATTGTGAGAAAACGTACATAACATAAAATTTACTATTTTGGCCTTTTTTGTTTTTTCTTTTGTGTTGCTGAGAGTGGAACCCAGGGCCTGTTGCATGCTGGGCGGGCACTCTACCACTGAGCCATACCCCCAGCCTCATTGTAACACTTTTGAAGTGTGTAATGCAGAACATTCATGCTGGTGGGCAGCCATTTCCAGAGCTGGTTCTCCCCAACTGAAATTCAGACCACACTAAACAGCTCCCCATTCTTTTCTTACCCCTGGCAACCACAATTCTGCTTCCTGTCTCTATGAATTGAGCTCCTTTAGGATCTCCACATCGAAGGAATCATGCAGTGGGTGTCTTGGTACCTGGCTTATTTCTCTCCTGTGGATAGACCACTTGGCTTGTGGGTCTGTGTTATCTGTCAACAGAGAGTCTCAGGGACTCCCAGTGCTCCAAGGCTGGGAGCTGTAAATGCCACTCTTTTCCTAACACTCATGTCCTTCGTAGCTATGCGGTGTCCTTCTGGCAGTCACTATAACTACTGTACCAGCCCCTGCCCAGCCACCTGCCTTAGCCTGAGGATCCCCATGAAGTGCCCTTCTATGCCCTGTGTGGAGGGTTGTGAGTGCCACGGAGACTTCATCCTGAGTGGGACGTCCTGTGTGCCTCTCAGCCTGTGTGGCTGCACTGACTCAAAGGGCTTCTACCACACGGTGAGAGGCCAATCCTGCCCGTTTCCACAAAACAGGGGGTGGGGTGGCCCAGAAAAAGCTCAGGACAGGTGGCAAGCCAAGGCAGAAAGTGTCCCAGGGGTGGGGTGCACTCCCCTACCTCCAGCTTCCAAATTTCTGCTGCCTGTGCCAACCCCCATGCCCCACAGTTGGGGGAGAGCTGGTACCTGGAGAACACCTGCACCACCCTCTGCACCTGCTCCGTCCAAAACAACATTACCTGCCAGAAGACCGCCTGCAAGTCCGAGCAGACCTGCAGAGCCCTGGATGGGCTGTTTCGCTGCAGGGCCTCAGGTAGGAGGGCCAGCGTGATACCTAGAGCAGTTCCCCCACTCCCCCCACATTCTCCCTATCTGCCCCTGTAGCATTCAGGTTCATATTCACAGCTAGCTCTATCAAATAGTTCTTGGCTCTTCCGAGGATAGATGGTCTTCCCACTGCCTGGAAGGGCATCTCGGGCTTCAGTTCCCTGCATTCTGATATAGCAACAGAAAACAGGTAACCTGTTACCCATTTTCTATTGTTATATCAGAATGCAGGAGACTGGATAATTTATAAAGAAAAGAAATGTCTTATTTCCTGCCTTCCCTTCTTTTGGTGCTAGGGATGGAATGCAGGGTCTTGCCCATGCTAGCCCAGAGCTCTACCACTGAGCTACACCCCACCCAGGAAATGCACTTCTTATTTTGGAGGCTGGGAAGTCCAAATTTGAAGGGCTGCATCTGGAGAGGGCCTTCTTGCTGGTGGGGACTTTGCAGCATCTCAGGGTAGCATCAAGCACCACCTCCAAATACCACTAGCATATGACTTTGGAAGTTAACTTTCCAGTGCCTGAATTCTGGGGAACAAACATTCTAACAGAGCAACTGTGTTTCTCCTGCAGCAGCCGTGAACTTGGGTTGCATATAATAAATCCCTTCCTGGTAGAATTACACTCCCCTCTACCTCTAAGAGTCATACCAGTCTGGGGCCTTGGGCTTTGATTTTTTTCTTGAACAAAGTCCTTCTTCCTTCTTGGGGCTCCCTGGCCTTCCCAGGCAGGAAGAGTACAGGATCATTTCCCTTGGGACAGTGTTTTTATCAGAGATGGGGTGATGTCTCAACCACCTCTCTTTCCCTCCAGATGTGGGCGTGTGCCGGGTCTCAGGGGGTTCCCAGTTTGTGAGCTTTGATGGCGTTAGCCATAAAGCCATTGTGGACATCTGCACTCAAGTCTTAGTCAAAGTGTGCCACCCCAACATGAACCTACCTTTCTTCAAGATCAGTGCCAAGAGTTATAACCAACAAGACAGTACCAGTCCCATCTCCCTCCCTGAGCTCTACATCAACATCTTCAATTCTAAGATCATCCTGAAAAAGAAACACCAAGTGCTGGTGAGCTGGGCACGATGACATGACCCAGAAGGAGGAGCAAGCTCTGGGGAGGGGACTCTGGTCCTTCCTCCCACTCACAGGTGCTACCCTCCTCTTTAGATCAATGATGCAACAGTCACACTTCCTGCCACATCCCAGATCCCTGGGGTCAGCATCACTTCTAGTGGCACCAACACCTTCGTCGATGTTGATAATGGACTACAAGTCCGTTTTGATGGCAACCAGTTCTTAGAGATCAAAGTCCCTGTAGCCTATTATGACAAGGTGAGGGTATGGCCTGACCTTGTTGGTGGGGAGTGGGGGAGCAACATCCCCATCCCCCACGAGAGATCAGTGGCCAGTAGGAGGAGGGCTGTCCACTGCACCTCTCTGTGGTTCTCTGGGCAGGATGCTCCAGAGAAAACTCCCCTTAAGCTTCCCCTGCACTAAAAAGCCCTCTGCCCGCCCAGGTATGCGGTGTGTGTGGCAACTTCAATGGTGAGGTGGATGACGAGCACATGATGCCCAGTGAAGAGTTTGCCCAGAACAACTCTGAGTTCATGAACAGCTGGAAGGACAAAGGCATTGAGCAAACGTAATTGTCTCCTAAGACCATTTTCAGAAAATGCTCTTAACCAGACCCTGCAAGGCCAGCCTGGGATAGGGAGACCAGAATGTTCCTTCATGTGTGTGATTTGGGGGCGGGGGGGTGCCTGCTGAGTCTCACGGGCTGCCAGAACCTATTTGGGGAAATGCAGAAATGTTCCCTTAGAAAGCTGGGAGGCTTGGGAGTCCCAGAGACTCTCTCAGGTGCATTGGGAGTGCCAGATAATCATCTTCACAGGGAGGGTAGTGGTTGCCCCTCTGTTGATCCATTTTTTTCCCTTCCCAGTTGCCAGAAGCCCTCAGAGCAACCTCAGAACAAAGTGGAAAGTCAAGGCACCAAGGAGGAATCCAGAAAGGAAAGCCAGGGCCACAAGGAGGAACACAGGACGGAAAACAAGGGCCACCAGGAGGAACACAGGACGGATAACAAGGGCCACAAGGAGGGCCACAAGGAGGAAAGCCAGGGCCACAAGGAGGAACACAGGTCGGAAAGCGAGGGCCACAAGGAGGAACACAAGGAGGAACACAGGACGGGAAGCGAGGGCCCCAAGGAGGGCCACAGGACGGAAACTCAGGGCAACAAGGAGGACTCCGAGGGCAAAGTGAAAGCCCTTTGCAAGCAAGTCGACTTCAAAACAGCCCAGAGAAATTGCCAAGCAGCCCTTGACGCCCCTGCCTGGGCCCAGTGTGCCGCCCGGGTGGACATCCAGCCCTACCTGCAGCTCTGTAGGGACAAGTTCTGTGACTCTGGAATCCTGACGGGAGCCCTCTGCCTGGTTTTCCAGGACTTTGGGGCCGCCTGCAAGACCCAGGGGCTCAAGCCCCCCATCTGGAGGAACAGCAGCTTTTGCCGTAAGTATCCCCTTCTGTCACCCCTAGTCTGCTCCCACACCCTGTTTCTCCCCTCCTGTTCCTTAGAGCTCCCTCATGCTCCCTCTGATTGCTCCTGACCTACTTCTGAACTTGTCATCTCTGACAAGGACTGGTTACAGTCCCCTCCCAACCAGAGCCCCTCGTATCAGAACAGCTGCTTCTCGGCTCCTTAACTGATGCCATTTTCCCAAGCAAAGGAAGTGTGACTACTCTCCTCCTTCAGGGTTACGTCCAAGCATGGCACAGTGGTGTCCAAGACCACCATCCTGGCCTCTCCCTTCTCTCCGACTCCCTTTCCACACAGGCCTGTGTTTTCACACACTCAGGTGTCTGGAAGGATCTGTTCTTTCGCCCCCTTCAGGCTGGGCATCTTCTGTAGCTCTTTAAAAACAGTAATTATAACTGAGCTTATTCACATAGCATGATATTCAACACTTTTAAAGTGTTCTTTTAGTATCTTTGTAAAATTGTACAACCATCACCACTATCTAAAAGAAGAACCCTCTAAAATTTAAAGCAGCAATTCATCACTTTTTTTAGTAAGTACAGTTATTCTCTGGTATGCACAGGAGATGGATTGGTTTCAGGACCCCTCTGAATACCAAAATCTGAGGATGCTTCAATTCCTTTATATAAAATGGCATAGTATTTGTGTATAACCTGCACACATCCTCCCATATATTTTTTGTTTGTTTGTTTATGTTTTATGGTGCTGGAGATTGAACCCAGGGCACTTTACCACTGACCTACATCCCCAGCCCTTTTTGGTTTTTGGGTTTTTTTTGTGTGTTTTTTATATTTATTTTTTTTAAATTGTAGTTGGACACAGTACCTTTATTTCACTTATTTATTTTTATGTGGTGCTGAAGATTGAACCCAGGGTCTCACACGGGCAAGGCGAGTGCTCTACTGCTGAGCCACAACCCCAGCCCCCCTTTTGGTTTTGAAACAGGGTCTCAATAAGTATTAGCCTAGCATTGAATTTGTGATCCTCCTACCTCAACCTCCCAAATCACTGGGATTACAGGGTGTACCACTGTGCCAGGCAAAACACACACACACACACACACACACACACACACACACCTTTAAAGTATTAGGCATGATCGTACATACCAGTAGTCCAAGCACTTGAGACACGGGCAGGAGGATCCCTTGAGCCCATGAGTTTTGAGTCCAGCCTGGACAACATAGTAAGATCATGTTTCAAAAATGAACAAACAAAAACAGATACCCAGAGAGAAGTCTCACCACTCCCTGACCCTGTGGGACCAGTTCACATCTCAGTATTTTTCCAAAGACCTTTTACTGTATAAACAAATTCAAATTAATATACCTCATTTTCTCCTTTTGTCTTATAAATAGTACCATACTAGATGCAGTAATTTGTACTTTATTTTTGATAATCTAGAGATCTTTCCATGTCATGTATGTAAACAGCTTCCTCATTACCTTCTGCAGCTGCATAATAGTCTATTATTATATAGGTATTTCTTTTTTCCTTCTTAGTTTCTTTTTCTTTTTTTCTTTTCTTTTCTTTTTTTTTTTTT